TTTGCACGATTTACTAATTCATTCGCAGATGGCAAATGACATCTGGCCCAGTTGTGGCCCACATTTGACCAAGTGTCCATGACACCTAACCCCAGGTGCTCCCGATGAACTGGATGGCGTCTTGCATGGCTGACACCGCTGTCGGTGTAGGAATGAATGGGTGAATGTGAGGCAAAATGTAAAGCGTTTTGATGGCCATTGGGTCTATGAAATCACTATATAAATGCAGTCCATTTACCAAATAGCAAGGTTCGATTGCTCTGTTCATGCAGTTTATTTAATTAAATGAGAACGCTGCCATCCAAACCCTGGTGCGTACCAAACAAACGGACCGAGACTGGGACCCATGAAAAGATGGTGGGGTGGCCATTTACCAACCTTTCAGAAGTCCATTGCAACACAGCATTCATCAGTGAATGCAACTACAGTAGTCAACATTTGAAGTGGATCAAAAAAGTGAATCAAAGTTAATCTAAGACAAGAACGGGTATTGTTCAAAATTCATGTATAACTTTAAAAGGTTTTAAACCACTTCAAATGTTGACTAGTATTTAAAAATGAGTTTTCATGTAAACGTTTCTCTTCGTAAGCTTTTGTTAGGGGTGGTTGAACTGCCAGCCAACCACTTGATTCTTTTATAGCTGCCCTTTTAATTTAAATAATTCGTTTGACAGAAACTTCCCTTCAGCCTTTATCTGAAGGGGTTCTTCTTTATAAATAACTCGTGAATCTTGCAGTTCGATAATTCAATTGCCTTTATGCACAGCTGCACTAGTTCCTGAACTTAAGCCAGCTCCTTGTTTCCTGTCTGCCATTATTGGCCAAATTGATTAATTCAGGTGTATCTGATTATTGTTGCTGTGACTACTGAGGTCAAGCACACCTGAATTAATCAATTTGGCCAATAATGGCAGACAGGAAACAAAGAGCTGGCTGAAGTTCAGGAAGTAGTGCAGCTGGGCATAAAGCCCATTCAACTTTTGAAAATTAGTTGTTTTTATGCCTTTAGTTTTGACACCTCTTTTCCGATGGCATGAGGGCTGGACAAGCTGTCACTCACATGAGACCGACAAATAGCAAACCACAACCATCCAATCAATTAAACAAAATCAAGTCCCGCCCCACATTTTTTCTTATTCGAGATTTTTTAATCGGATATACTTCACAATAGTTTGCGCATAACTGGTTACGGATTTCTAACCACATATACAATTTTCTACTACCATATGAATGCTAATAAAGCTATACACTCAGCAGTGATTCAACTGATATTGCTGGTATACTCTTGTTTAAAGCTGCAGTCTGCAGTTTTTCTTTTGTCGCCATCTCTGTTCAAAATCTGCAATTGCAGTCATTTGTGGAATTATGAACTTTACGTGGGTGTACCTCGACACAGCACAGTGTGGATTAACATAATGTTTGAGGAGAATATGCAGCTGTCATTCTACATTAAAAGCTGTCAGACTACATTTAAAGCCCTTCAGATATTTATCCTTGTTTTCACATGGGCCGGTTGCAGTCTCTTTTTCCAGATTCTCAGTCTGAAGTCTTTTGCATTTTACAGCGGGTGAATTTCTAGTTGTGACTGGTAATTTTCATTTGACCCTTTCTGGATCCGCCATCAAATTTATAAGTTTAATTGGTAACACTTTATAATAACTACACGCTAATAATCATTAGTTAAGCATGAGTAAACCATTAATTCATCATTCATAAAGCATTAATAGACATTAGTAAGCAGTTCATTAATACAGCTATAAATGCTTTCTTCTTGATTTAAATGCTTATCTATAATTTGTTTAGTAATTGTATTTTCATCCTTTATTAATGATCAATTTATCATTTCTAAATGAAGAATTGCATTTTTTATGAACCAGTTATTTAAGAGTTTTCAGTGGTTTATACGATTACTTAGAGCGAGTAAGTAAATGATTAATAAACTATTTAAATGTACATTCATACATCTTATTATTCAGACATATAGTGATGGTTACTTAATGTGTTAATAAATGCTTTATTAACATTGATTAATGCTGTAATTAAGGGTTAATTTGGGTAGTTATAAAGCATTTAGTAGTGGTCAGTTAACTATGTTCGTGGGCTCATCTAAAGTGAGGACTATTCATGCCTTGTAAAGCATTTTTAAAGGCTGTTAAATATTTCTATGTTCTGTATCACTGCGTTGTGTTTGTTACTTTTTACTGTTTAGAAGATTGATGAGCCTTTAAATCGCCTTTATAAATGCTTTACAAAGCATGAATAGTCCTCACTTTAGATTAGCTCACAAAAATAGTTAACTAACCACTACTAAATGCTTTATAACTACCTGTATTTACTACATTTACTCACACTTTCTAAGTGATCTTATGAATGACTGACAACTCTTAAACAACTGGTTTGTAAATAATGCTATACTTCATTTAGAAATTATTAATTGATCATTAACAAAGTATGAAAATACAATCATTAAACGCATTATAGATATGCTTATAAATCAAGAAAAAAGCATGTATAGCTATATGTATAAACTGCATATTAATGTCTATTAATGTTTTATAAATGATGAATTAACTGTTTACTCATGCTTAACTAATGATTAATAGTGTGCAGTTATTATAAAGTGTTACCGTTTAATTATATCAAGTGCTGTGAGAAAAGGCAACAAGTCTCCACCCCCAGCATTCTCACAGTCATGGTCTATAGCCAAAAATCCTTCTTTATGTGTACAGATGTAGAGAGCTATGACAAAGAGAGAGTTTTGAACATTGGCTGGAAATATACATGTTCAATTTATTTTGGATAATTTTTAACCCAAAAAGTTAAAAACTGGAGCTTTAATGAAAAAAAAAAAGATATATATATATATATATATATATATATATATATATATATATATTGAGGTCATTTAAAAAACTCAGCGCTGAGGGTAGACTAGTTTATCGTCACAGTTAGAGTTGCTGGTTTCCATATTCACCACATCCTGTAACAAGTCAGCATGTGATTATCTCAGATAGATACATGTCCTCTTGCAAAACTAGTGAGTATACCAGTAACCTATAGTATGCCAGTGATAATTAAAGGGCATCTCACTCACTTTAAAAAGATTTCTAAAATAAAAGGACCATATCATCAATGCCTTTTACAGCACAAGTGCCGATCTGAACGGTGTCTTTCTGTGCAAAATCTGGTGTAAGCATGACAGGACAGATTCGTCATTACAAATGAATCATTAAAAATAAAAGATAAAAAATCAGTGGTTTTTAGTTGCTTTAAGTGCATGAATCCAAAAAGTCTGCACAATTGGTGCTGTGACAGTTTCCGATAAGCGGGTGAAAGCTTACTGCGTGTTATTGTCTTTCCGCGTGGCAAAGTAGTTTAATTCCAATTAAACTTTGATCCGACTCCATTTTATAAAGACCTTGAATTTAGGTTAGAATGTCAATTGGTTATTGATCAGTTATTTAATATTTTAGCAACACATTTCATTGTTCTGTTCTATTCTTTACTTTATGTATATTTATATATATGAAGAGTTCAGATGCAAAAGCCTCTAAATGCCATTTGAAATTTTCTTCTTTAATGATGATTTTTATCAAACTTGTATATTTAAGTTCAGTAATTTCACTTAAATAACAATTAATAGGTAATTATCATTGCCATTTAAGTGAAATTACTGAACTTAAATATACAAGTTTGGTAAAAATCATCATTAAAGAGGAAAATTTCAAATGGCACTTAGAGGCTTTTGCATCTGAACTCTTCATATATATATTGAATTACACTCATGGTCTATAGCCGAAAATCCTAAATGAATCCAAAATCCGAAAATGAATTAAAGTAACGTTTACTTTAGACAGAGGTCATGGCCACTTCTACAGATATATACAAGCCAACCAATATTACTTTTCTGATAGCTTTGGGTTGGTCATGCCAGGGTTTCCCACATACACAGTAACCCAATTTAAGTTGGTCGAGCCACATTTTTCTGTCCTTTAGGCAAGTCAAGGCAAGGCAAGTTTATTTATATAGCACATTTCATACACTGTGGCAATTCAAAGTGCTTTACATTGAAATGAATAAAAATAAATCACAAAATAAAAGCAAGGAAAATTAAAACAGTAATTCAAAATGCCTTACATAAAGGAAACAAATATCACACTATATGGCAATAGGCAAGTAAATACATAGAATAAACTTCTAGGGTTTTACTCTTACACTGTGTCTGTGGTGTTTATTCGGCGCATCTAAGAATTCCATTGGACGTCTTCAGTTGTTTTGTCAACAGGTAGGTCTTGTTCCATTGGGTCAACAGATTTAACGGAGCTCCTGGCTGCGGCCTGGTGCCTTTACTCCTACAGCCAGCTGACATTTTATTTTATTTTTATTTAAACTATAAATCCCTGCACCCTTTTCAGCATCTTCCTAAATACTCAGAACTCTTTTCAAATGTTAACATGAATTCACAATGGGAACCTTTGTACCAGTCACACTGAGACATTTCAAATGATACCACACATGTATAAAATTGTTCACAATAAAGTTTAAACCACATAGATTTGGTGTATTTCAGGAGATCTCAGCATGAGAGAGAGGCGAGATGGGGAAGGGAGAGAATTGTAAATTGGGAGGTGATCAACTCAAGTGTGATCGAATGGGGATGTTAATATGACAAGACAGATCAGATGTTAATCTCCTTTGTTTTCTCGGAGAGCTGCTATCTCTTTCATTTCTTTCAGTTTTCCCAGTTTTTCCAGTCTTACAACTTTAACGGAACTCACATAATTCCTCACCACCATAGTATACAACATGTTTTTCGTATGAATAATATTCCTTTTTGTTTTGCCTAAAATATCCACAATTACACTCTAACCTATCAACTACATACGAGGATTGGCAATTAATAAAGAACTCAATAGATAGTACACTTCAGACACGTGTGCAGTAAATGTAAATGTGCTATGTCTGAAGTGTGTTGAGGGGGAGGGATTAACAGTCAGCAGAGGCATCTGTGCTGTTTTATGCTACTTTCAACACCACAAGGATCTGCTCTCTGTCTCAGTGTGCCGATACATTTTTTTTAAAGAGTGGAATTGAACTAATTCACAAAATGTACAAAGGACTTCTTTTTTTGATTGGTATGTACAGTTTTGATAATCAGTGTTTGCAATTCATTATTTAAAACATTTCTTTGTGTTTGGGTATGTTTTAAATACTTATTTATTTGAATATGAAAATGTCTGGGCAAAAGTAGAAACTATATCATAAAAGCATAATCTTATTACCATGTCAAATTCTGCTGTCTGAATTATTTTGTTTTTTACTCATTATTTTAAATGTTACAGTCATATGCAGAGTGACCGGGTTCAATATTCTGATGCATTCAAAAGCAGTGAAGCATTTCATAAAAGATGATCCACTCTTTGGGCAAACTGTTATCCAATCAAATGATGGGTTAGTCGTTTATGATTGTTTTTTTTTACTGAAATAGATAAATAAATGTTCTTTATAATGACTTTAAAGGTCATCTATTTTAGTAAAAGTGATTTATTTGTCCTGTTCTAGAGTTTTTGTTCCTTCCCCATCAAATGGAAAACTTTTCAGCTGCACTCTAAAGGATGAATGCGTCGATTTAAATATGAGCGGTAAGTTTATCTTTGTCTTTTGTATCTTTTTATAGAGAAGCTCAAATTGTAAACGTAACTTTGTTAATTTCATAACAGTGTCCTCACTGATTTACAGAATTACTTTCACAGTAAAAAATCTTATTATGTCAATGTATCTTTTAAAGATGAAAAACTAAACAAACTGAGATCAGTAGCATCTGTAGCTTCTCGGCTGATATCAGAAGAGGAGCACATTGTGGTATGTATAAAAACAGAGATGTCAAATATGTCTGACAGTTTTTATATTCTAGAGATGTCAAATATGTCTGACAGTTTTTATATTCTCAACATGATTTCAACAAAGATTAAGCTATTGAAAACTATACTAAACGGGAAATACACTGTGCATAATCAGATAAAGTTTTGTGTCTGTCGCACAACATTTTTACAGTAAAACCACAGAGAGTGTGGCTTCCCCTTCCCATACGTGACAGACAGAAATGTGTCGGTTCTAGAAGACTAGAAATAGTATGGTGAGAGACAAAAATTGTGTGAGAAAAGTTAAATAGGAATATTGGGATACCACAATTATTTCTGGGGAATTGTATTTTTTTTTTTACATGTATTGGGACATTTGGGGAAATTGTTCAAGATGATTGCCTGTGTTGTGACTATCAGGAGGAAGTCATAAGCATTGTGAGTCAAAACTGTTAACTTCACCAAAAACCATACAGTGATGTCACTTCCCTAGTGAAAACATCTCTAAAATAAAACAATGTACTCTTTGTAAAGTTTCAATCAGAGCGATTCTGTCACTGTTCGTAGAATTTGTCGCCACAAATTCTTATTAACATGACATTAACATCTGTTTATTCAGTTAGAATGACTCGAAGACTTCGAACTCGAAGAGGAATGACTTAATAATAATTAGACTTGTGTATATTTTTTTCTCCCAAGATGTGTAACCAAGTTCGCATAAAGAAGAAATTAACTGAGGATTTGAATGGAAATTGCCAACTGATGAATCCCATTGAGAAAGTCAAACTGAATCCTGTTAAATTTGGTATGTATGGATGATTTGATAATGGTATTTCTGATTTGAACAGACAAAATCCCCTGATTTTTCTAAATCTTTCATCTCAGTCAACGACTACAACGATCGAAGTAGAAGTTTCGATCAAGGTGAGCCCACTTGAGATAAAACTACATTTTTTTGTGGCTCATTTAAAGTGTCCGATTGCTAATTTACATTTCTGTCATTATACACAAGCTAAAAAGAGGATGAGAAGACAAGCCGAGCCGGACAGTGACACAAAAACAGATGAAGATGAGGATGAGGAGGGTAATAGTCTATATTTGGCCTTTGAAATAAATCAGTATTATTAGTTATTAAGTATGTCATGCTGATTGTGTCATACTCCAGATGCAAAGAATAATGTTTTAAAATAAACCATGATTTTTATACTGATATTTCAGAACATCTTTTTTAGATGCTGGGACAGAGATTGCTTTTGTGCTGGACGGCTCTGGTAGCATTGATGCTGATGACTTTGAGAGAGCCAAAGACTTCATCCACGATGTCATGTACAATGTTTGGAAAGCATGTTTCAATGCAAGTATAAATTAAAGGATTTTCTGATAGACATTTATATCTATTTTGTAAATGCAATTTAAAAGGTATTTTACATACCAAAAAGAACAACAACTCTCTCCTCAGTGTGACTTTGCGATAGTACAATATGGCAGTAAAATCAGGACAGAGCTCTCACTTCTAGACAATGAGGACGGTGCCAGTACCTTGGAAAAGGTCAAGAAAATACAGCAAATTGGAAACTACACAATTACAGCCTCGGCCATCCATCATGTCCTGTGAGTTTACAAATTATGATGTGAAATACTAGACATTTTATACTGTATCTTATGTGTTTGATTAGCATGTAGCACTTTTGTTGGTCATACGTTGATGTCATGGTCTGATTGGTTTCTTTGGTTGTTTACAGCACAAATACTTTCATCCCTGAAAACGGATCAAAAAATAACACCAAAAAAATAATCATCGTTTTGTCTGACGGGGCAATTTTGGGAGATACGATGAAACTTGATTATGTTCTGAACATGCCACAAATGAAAGATGTAAATCGCTATTCCATAGGAGTAAGTGTCCTGTTTACTGCTTAATTCTCTTAGCATTTAAGATGTTTAAAATGCAATTAGAATTGCAATTGCAGATTACATCTGTCCCTGTAGATACTTCTAGGTTCACCAGCCTGCATGAGCCCTATACTAAAACACTCATATCAGCTTACACAGAGTTTGTTATTATATAGGTAATGATTTGTATGTTTTATTAAAAAAATAAGTCTTAAAACCCACACACTTGATAACATCTTATCTTTAGGTTGGTAATGAGATTCTGACAAAACCTGTAGCATTAAAAGAGATGACTGACATAGCAGATCCTGGTCAATTCTTCAACGTTTCCAATTATGCTGCATTAGATGACATCCTGTCCAAATTGGGGAAGAGTATAATTGGGGTTGAAGGTAAGAACGTTTCAAATGTTTTGAAACATGTTTTTAAAAAGCTGATGTTAAATTGAACCATGCAGATATTCAGTGCAACAGCACAAAATTGTGAGTGCTACTTTTATATTTGTGTGAACAAGCAGTAAATTGAGTAAAACCTTTTAAACAAAACATTTCCAGTTCCTTTATCTATTTTTGCACCACCAAATAAAAATGCACCAAACTACGCCAAAGCAGAATCAAGCGTTGCGCCTACAACAGTGTTTTGTGAATCAGTTGAGTTAATGATTAAAAACAGATAAAATATTCTAAACTTGACTTTGACAGTTTTGTAACTGAATATGCATTATAATATTAATGTGAGTTTTACCAAGTAAAATGAGTTTCATGCAATATCTGCCCACTTTGTGTCTCAGGCACTCAGAAATTTGAATTGCAGCTCGCAGAGGCTGGATTCAGTTCCCATATTGTGCAGGACGTAAGTAGGATGATTGGCTTCTGATGTTTTTTATTCAAGAACTTCTTGTTAATCTACAAAGAACTTGTGTGGATGTTTGATATACTATTAACATTAATTTGTTTTGCTTTTTGCATAGAAATCTGTTCTTTTTGGAGCAGTTGGTGCTTATGACTGGAGTGGTGGGATCATTTTGAAATCTGAAGGCACTGAGAAATTTATGAATGACACTAATAATGGACCCAAATTTTCATATTTAGGTGAGTAAGTTGATTGAATATATATATATATATATATATTTATTTTTTTTTTCAGCGAAAAACTGCAGTTCAGCAGCCATTTTCTCAAGCATATATACACTCACCTGAAGGATTATTAGGAACACCTGTTCAGTTTCTTTTTAATGCAATTATCTAATCAACCAATCACATGGCAGTTGCTTCAATGCATTTAGGGGTGTGGTCCTGGTCAAGACAATCTCCTGAACTCCAAACTGAATGTCAGAATGGGAAAGAAAGGTGATTTAAGTGATTTTGAGCGTGGCATGGTTGTTGGTGCCAGACGGGCCAGTCTGAGTATTTCACAATCTGCTCAGTTACTGGGATTTTCATGCAAAACCATTTCTAGGGTTTACAAAGAATGTTGTGTAAAGGGAAAAACATCCAGTATGCGGCAGTCCTGTGGGCAAAAATGCCTTGTTGATGCTAGAGGTCAGAGGAGAATGACTGATTCAAGCTGATAGAAGAGCAACTTTGACTGAAATAACCACTCGTTACAACCGAGGTACCAAAGCATTTGTGAAGCCACAACACGCACAACCTTGAGGCGGATGGGCTACAACAGCAGAAGACTCCACCGGGTACCACTCATCTCCACTACAAATAGGAAAAGAGGCTACAATTTGCAAGAGCTCACTAAAATTGGACAGTTGAAGACTGGAAAAATGTTGCCTGGTCTGATGAGTCTCGATTTCTGTTGAGACATTCAGATGTCAGAGTCAGAATTTGGCGTAAACAGAATGAGAACATGGATCCATCATGCCTTGTTACCACTGTGCAGGCTGGTGGTGGTGGTGTAATGGTGTGGGGGATGTTTTCTTGGCACACTTTTTCCCCTCAGTGCCAATTGGGTATCGTTTAAATGCCACGGTCTACCTGAGCATTGTTTCTGACTATGTCCATCCCTTTATGGCCACCATGTACTCATCCTCTGATGGCTACTTCCAGCAGGATAATGCACCGTGTCACAAAGCTCGAATCATTTCAAATTGGTTTCTTGAACATGACAATGAGTTCACTGTACTAAAATGGCCCCACAGTCACCATATCTCAACCCAATAGAGCATCTTTGGGATGTGGTGGAACGGGAGCTTCGTGATCTGGATGTGCATCCCACAAATCTCCATCAACTGCAAGATGCCATCCTATCAATATGGGCCAACATTTCAAAAGAATGCTTTCAGCACCTTGATGAATCAATGCCGTGTAGAATTAAGGAAGTTCTGAAGGCGAAAGGAGGTCAAACACAGTATTAGTACTATGGTGTTCCTAATAATCCTTCATATATATATATATATATATATATAAGAGAGAGAGAGAGAGAGAGAGAGAGAGAGAGAGAGAGAGAGAGAGAGAGAGAGAGAGAGTTTCATGTTTGTTGTATTTCCTTCCTGATCACAGGTTATAGTGTCACTTCGGCTCATTTATCCGATAAAACTCTCTACATATCTGGAGCACCACGGTATAATCTGACTGGTGGGGTATTTATTTTTAACGGCTCCGGAAACTATGTGCTCCTGGGAGATCAGGTATTTCTAGTCAATACTATTGATACTAACACACCAGACTGTTTGTTTTCAGTTTTAAAAGTTTAAAAGAAAAGTCTAAAATAATTCTAGTCGCTCAAAAAAAAAAAGATATATAATAATAATGCATATAGTGGTGGATAACATTATCAGAACAGTAAGATTTTTTAATGTTTTAAAAGAAGTCTCTTCTGCTCACCAAGGCTTCATTTATTTGATCCAAAATACATCAAAAACAGTAATATTGTGAAATATCTGTACTAATTTAAACGGTTTTCTATTTGAATGTTTTTAAAAATGTAATTCATTCCTCTGATCAAAGCTGAATTTTCAGCATCATCACAATTGCTTGTGAAATTTTTATATTAAAATGTTTACCTCATCTACAACCTCAGTTGGAGTAAATATGTCCAGAATTCGGATAGGGGTAGGCGCACTATATATTAATCCGTTAAGATGTACAGATTTCAATGTTGAATTGAGTAATCTTTAAATGGTTTACATATTATGAATTGATAATACATGCATAAGTATATGTTTTTTTCTGATTACAATTAACCATTTGCTAATATGATAATAATTAAGTGAAGTATAATTTCCATAGGTTGGATCTTACTTTGGATCAGTTCTTTGTGCCTTGGACATTGATGGGGATCAATACACAGATCATCTATTAGTTGGAGCACCACATTTCTATAAAAATGGGGAAGAAGGCAAAGTGCTAGTGTACAGATTGAATGAGGTAAGATCATACTCTCCTTTGAGCTCATGAGTGTGTGTGGGCCATAGTATAACATGATTTAAATCATCCTAAAGCAGGACAGGTTTGAGAGCGTGACAATGGAGCTGCAGGGTGATGCGGGACAGGACTTTGCCAGGTTTGGTGCAGCCATCGGCTCAATAGGAGATATTGATGGGAACAAATTCAATGATGTAGCAGTGGGCGCTCCTCTGGAAACAGATTCCTCAGGAAGCATTTACATTTATAATGGATTCAAAGATGGCCTTCGGTTTTCACAAGTGGGTACAGACATATTTTCTTTACACTTGAGCTTTTTAATCAATCTTGGACAATATCCAGACAATTTCTGTCCATGTAGACATGGTACAGATAATAATTAGAACAATATGTTATATTCATTATTTAAAAGATTTTTTATTAATGTCAAATTCTAAATAAATAATGCAAATAGTAAAACGATTAATATCCCATGATAATATCCAGAAATTCTTAAGAAAAGACTGATTTCATTTGGAATCACTTGGAGAAGATCATGACCCTTGCATAATAAACCAGTGATTTTTTTGAATATGCATACATACGTATTTCATTATCATTTACCCTAAAATTATGAAATATTATGAACAATTATGAGCCTGCTTCTTCACAAATTGTAGCTCCCTGTATATTCTATTTTATTCTGGCAATTTTTTTAATAGACCCAAAATGGTTGCTTTAAAGTTTGACTTTACATCTCAATGTGACTTTAAATATAATTTGCTGTTTCTTCCCTATAGAAAATTTCACCCTCAGATTTTGATATGAAACTTGTGCACTTCGGTCAGTCAGTAAGTGGCGCTTCTGCCACGGCACCAAATAAACTTTGCATCGCTGTTGGAAGTCAAGGGAGAGTGAGTGTTTTTGAGTGAGTAAAAAACATTTAGTTCGATTTTGTTACATTTTTTTTTACTATATTTCAGTATACATTCTGTTTCAGGATAGGGGAAGCTTCTCTTTAGATGTTGTTTCATGTTTGTAAAAAATGTTTTGCAGGAGTATCCCTGTTGTGGTTATCAAACCAGCTATAACGCTTTCAAAGAAAGTAATTCCTCTGACTCACCAAATGAATGAATTATCCAGCAAGCTCAGCATACATTTAGGAGTATGTTTTAATGTGATAAAGGGAAAACTTCAATGTAAGTGTTCTGTTTCATTTCAGTGAGAATAAACTTGATCTAAAATGATCCTCATGGTTATTTTTAACCACAATTTACTTTCTGTCATTTTAGCTGAAACACTCCCTCTTCAGTACCAATTTGACTTGGATTCTGATGCAAACAAAAAGCGTATCACTGTTGACAACAGCGATCAATTAAAAAACTCTTTAATTTTGACGCCAGAAGCAGAGTGCACCAGCATCACCCTACAATATTTGGTACGTTGCTTCTGTTTGGTTCTTTTTTTTTTTCCTACCCAACTTGTCAGTATTAATTGAATAGCAAATTATTTATTGCAAAAATGATTTGAGAGCTATGATCATTTCTTTGTGATATTGACCAATTGTCTTCTTTCCAGGGATGTTTTGATTGTTTTTCACCTATGAAAATCAAGCTGAATTTTTTTTTGGCCCCCAACCAAACTGAACGAATTCTTGACATATTTACTCCAACTGAGGTTGTAGATGAGGTAAATATTTTTCAAAATATTCATAATATAAATTATGAAGCAATTGTGCACATAGTCATCTTTCACCATTTGTTACACTACCATTCAAAAGTTTAGGGTTGGTAAGTTTTTGTATTTTAGAAAGAGGTGTCTAGCCTTTATTTAATCATAAATACAGTAAACAGTAATATTGTGAAATATTGTAACAATTTAAAATAGCTGTTTTTAAAAATGTAATTTCTACCTGATGGTAAAGCTGAATTTTCAGCGTCATTACTCAGCATCAGTGTCACATGATCCTTCAGAAATCATTAAAATATGCTGATTTGCTGCTCAGGAAATTATTTTTATTTGCAATGTTGAAAATACTTGCTGATTAATATTTTTGTGGAAACTGATAACTTTTTTAAAGGATTCTTTGCATGAATGTATTTGAAATGTACAAAATATATTTTTGAACAATATAAATGTTTACTGCCATTTTTGATCTGTTTAATGAATACCAAGTATTATTTGATTTAAAAAAAGGTCTTAGCCATCATCCATATTAGGTGATTTTTCATTGAAAGACTTTTAATTTATGTAATAAGATTGAAAATGATCATACATTTTTTGTTATTTTTAGATTTCCTTTGAAAATGACTGCAAAGCTAAAGATTGTAAACCAAGCATTACATTATCTGATTCAAAAATTAGGTACGTACTGATGACATGAATTAAATTCACTTTTAAAAGGGGGACACAGCTATTACAAACGTAAAAATATAGTTTGACTTTTTTTGTAACTAAAATAATTTACATTGCAGTGTAACTAAGATCATAATTGGAGACACTCAAAGCTTGAATATCAACTTCAGTCTCATGAATACTGAAGACCCTTCCTTTTTGACCACCCTGACTTTGACCTACCCCAGTATACTCAGTCAGAAGGTAAAAAAAAAAAAAAAAAAAAAAACATGACCTCACCTTGCAAAAGCCGATTATCTCTGCTGTTGATCCATTTATACAAGATATCCTGTTTTGGTGTCTCACTTACAGAAAATAGAAGGTGCCACCTGCCCTGTGAAGAATGACAATCAGATACAATGTAATATTCAACACCCTGTTTTCAAAAGAGACACACGGGTATGACTATCTCTGAAACATAAGAATTCTGATGTCATTTGGACTTAATTTTTTCCAGTAATGAAAAGTTGTTGTTGTGGTTTCATTTTTATTTCCCAGATCAACCTCTTCGTCTCCTGGCAGCTCAATGACATCAAATCTGAGTTGAGGGATTTTGAGATTATCGCTAATCTAACCAGGTTTGAGAGCTGGTTCTCTTGCTCTTTATATAAAAATCAGTTACTAATTTTTAAATGTGCATTAAAAAAACACACATTTTCTCTGATTTTAGTCAGAATAATGGCTCTCAGCTTCTGGACTCAAAAAAATACCCATTTAATGTGATGTATTCCCTACCAATCCAGCTGACTGGGTAAGTGAACAAACTAGCCTACCTGATAAGTATTTTGAATTAAAGAGGTCATGAATTGAGAAATACATTTTCTTAATCTTTTCTTGATATTTTGACATGTACTATAAAATAGTAATTTATATTCATTGAACTATAAAAACATCCAGTAAATTTCAGAAATCAAAATTTCAGAGTTAGTCCAAAAACAACTTCATTCAAAGGGACATTGTGTAGGAATTGCTGCCATCTAGCGGTGAAAATGTATTTTGTATTCAAACGAATTGTGCTCGTAGCCTTTATGTAACGTTACCAAAAAACTATGACAGGATTAGCATTTCGTCGATTGTTCCTTCGATGAACAGGTTTGTACTGGTTTTTAACAACGAATAAACTAATGTTACAGTATGAATTACTGACTGTGAAAAACATGAACTAAGTAATAGCAATAAGTATCCTAGTTATATTTTCTGAAGTAAGTTAACGTTACCCTACGTGCCTTAGATATCATCATCACCTTAAAACTATAAATGTTCATCTGTCTATATAATAAAGTACACAACCAAACAAGGAAAAAAGCTTGTAATTAAGACTGTAACATTACCTTACCTGTCGAGAAGAAAGCTGGATTTCAGCGTCTCTTTTGAACTCTTTCTCCTGCATTAGCTCTATCCACCTGGGCTATTTTTCTCCGATCACGTTTCCTTTTACGATTTACGAGTATTTTTTGGACTTTTTGGCAACGAGGATTTGTAATGAAGCCTTTTAAACTTGCCGGGCCGTGAAGCGCCTCTCACCGCTGTGCTCCCCCGCTTCTGCTGCTTTCAGTCACGCTGGATCTGATTCTGAACGAAAACGCGTTGTGGAAACGCGTTGGCCTAGTACTTTTTGTCCCTCTCTGTTGTTTTCCAAGATGGCCCGTTCTATGTATTTAAAGATAATAACTTCTTTGTTTAGGAGGATAAGTCAGATAATTGGCAGAGGTATTTTTACACCATTGAGGACATATTTATGAATAAAAATGTTGATTTAAAATAACGAATTACTTAAAAATTACACATAGTCCCTTTCAATTTTAGTCACATTATGATGTAGTAATGACATAAAGAGAAGGGAGGTATTTATTAAAGATACAGGATCACTGGACTGAAAATAACATTCTAGAAAAGTGGTTATTTACTTTCAACATGTGAATGTCTCAGTAAAGAATTATTTATTTGTTTGGTACATTTCACTGTGGATTTTGTGGAAAATCAGTCACAATTTCGGCACAGACTTTACAAATATTATATTTACTGTAAAATATAGACCTGACAGTAATGCTACAACATGTAAGTAACTGTGTTAAATCGAATGCCTAATCTGTGACCAGTGATTTCGGATATGATTCATGTATAGTCAGATGATCTTTGTCTCAAAATCGTTCTTTGTCTCAAAATGCGTCAGAATCAAGCCAGTGACTTAAATTAAAGTCAAAGAAATTGACTTTAACTTAAATGATGAACATTTTTGATGTAAGATATAAGTACACTTCAGGTAATATATGTATAAAAAAATGCAGTTCATGACCCGTTTAAACCTCTTGATTTTGTAATATTAAAGCATATGTATTACTATTTATTTATTTATTCCACAACAACAGCACAGCCTCCCCAAATAGACTCCGTATTGAAGAGGGTGCAAAAGAAGACACTCAACAGATGGAGTTTGAATTTCAGGTAAAGTAAATAAATCACATAGGAACTGGCTAATTTTTATGTTCATATATTTATATGGTTTATTCTATTGTATTCTGATTCAGTTTGCAGGTGAAAATAAGTATGGCGCTACAATTGATGTAGTTGTAAACATAACAAAGGACACCTACAAAACAGATCTGCGCATCAAAAGTGTAAATCCAGAGGTACCACATGAAATGTTTAATGCATAGAGTGACCATAAACAGCATGAAGGCTTTCAAATTAACATTTATTGCTCCTTTTGCATTAGAAGTGTGGTTGGCAAAGAAATAACGTGGAGGTAAGATATTACCTTAAAACATTTATCATGCTTTCAAAAACCCGTTTAAACGGTTCAACTGTTATTAAATAATTTAAATTTAAAATACAATTTATATGTATATTTTTGTGCCTGTAGGGACCCCATGTCATCAGATGTACCATGAAAGAGCTGCAGAAAATCATCATTGTTGCTGATGTTTTGATACATGATGTTCAGGTATAGTTGCATAGGTGCGATCACGGCAAGTTGTAATTACTGTAATTAGGACCTTTAAATGTGTAAAATGTCGTCGTAAAGCTTGTAATTACAACTTGAAACCTTGGAATTTTCTGAGAGCTCCTACTTGTACCAAGTGACTGGTGTACCACCTGACCACTACAGATTCATTCACGTGAACAGCTCCGTGTAGAATGTTACGTGTTTTCATCTCGAAATTACAGTAATTACGACGTGGCGTGAAAGCAGCAATTAGTCCTGGTATAGTGATAATCATTTGCACGAACAACCTGTTTAGTGTTTATCCAATATAACTTTTCAAACCTATAGGGAAAATCCGACAAGATCACTGCCGTAGGAAAATACAGCTTTGATGAGGCCGTCTATACTGCGAAGGATACTTCAAGGACTGTTACGGTGAATAGCAGACCCTTTTCAAGCATCCAAAAACATGTTATGAAGTATTTGGTGGCTGAGAAATTTTTCATGCAATGCAGGTTGAGGTGATGATCACGAAGCTGATCGTGACGTCATCTAAAGGTGCCATCATTGGAGGATCCATAGGAGGATTTCTGCTCCTTTTCATCATTATTGTCATTCTCATAAAGGTAAAAATGTGTCCACACACTCTATAATGATATTACATGGTTCTTTCTTTAGGAAGATCAAGTCGAGCGCAATGCATTGTGGGATATTGTTTCTTGCAGTAAGCTGTAATGGTGTATAGTGCATATTTTGGTGAATATAATTGGTCATCTGTATTTTATGTATAAAATGTACATCCTGTGCACAGTCTGCATACAATATACTGCAAAAATAGTAAGAGTTGTAAGATGTTATTCCAAGCAGAACCATTATCTCAGCATGCACTGACTCTTCATGTGATTTTATTTTCAGTGTGGCTTTTTCCGTCGTCGCCATAAAGTGGACCACGCACAGAGTCCAAACTGAAGACTGCCAAAGCTCAGGAGGGAATATTCCCATATATCTTGCTTAAGTTTGTGTATAGAAAAGGTTGTTTTGGGGATAAAAGTTATAACCTTGTTTATTTCATTATCAATGTAGTATTAATAAGCTTTTAAATGGGTCATGGACTGGATTATTTTATTATTTTATAATGTATAAATTTATAAAAATGTAGAAAAGGCATTTTTCCGAGCCTGATTTTAGCCTCTGATTTGAACGCTCTATTGGAAGGGGCATGTTTGCTGTGAGACTTAAGTGTCAACACCCACTGCTGTGATTGGTTGACACGTTTGCATATGAAATGGCTAGCATTACATGTAGAGCTCTCTCTAAAACTTTTACTACGTTCTTATTATTACATCGTTGTACTGTACATTGTAATAGCGTCATGATTTTGTGATGATTGATTTCAACGAGTTTTGGCAAGTGTCCAGATACAGAACTGGCTGTGTGACTGACAGCTTGGCGAATTAAAAGGGAGCATTCTGTGAGGCTTTCTTTATATAATTTAATCACAGTTTGAATTGGATTATCTTCATCCTACTTAGGGAAATGATGTGTAGTTGAATGTTTTAGTCACTGGCTTGATTTACTGATGCATAAACAGTTTAATAACAGTGAATAAACATGAGTACTTACATGTTTGCGGCATTGCTGGCAGATCCGATTCCATATCGCAAAAGTCTGTTTGCAAAGCCTGCACCGAAATACCAAAATAATCCACAATACAGAAAATCCACAGAAAACAAACAGATCCTGTATCGATCTTTTCTCGTTCTCATGTCATTGTTCACTAAAGGTCCAGTGGGCGGGGCCAAAGCTGAAGTGTGATGTCACAAGTCTCCACTTTTTAGATCCTGTCATTTGCTGGCCTTGGTTTCAATAAAAGCAGTTTTTGGAATAACAAGAAAGTTTTGAGTTTGCAAACTTACTGGGTATTTTTATAGTATAATGAACTCTTACCTGTCAAATGAACAAGGAACATTTTAATTATCATATTATGACCCCTTTAATGACTGATATAGTATAAAGAATGTTAGACAAAATCCCTCTGCCTAAATAAATGCAAATCCTAAATACCCCATAACCAAGGCACTCATTTATAGCTTGGACATATTGACTATTTGATTGAGAAAACGCAAAGATAATTTTAAGAGGAGTTTTCATATTCATATTCATATAAATGAGAATCATATAAAATTGTAGGCCTGAAAAAAGAAGTCGTTTTTGGTGGTTTGTTCCCAGCTAACAGGGAACGTTCCCAGAACATTCACTAACGTTCTTTAAAAGTTGTGTAAATGTTAGGACAAAACGTTATTAAAATAATGTTTTCGGAACGTTCATATAACATTATTAACGTTCTTGTAACGTTGAGAGAAAACATTCTTAGAACAACGTTCTTGGAACGTCTTTATCACGTTATTTGTATTTGATGAACATTCTCATTACGTTGATAAAAAACGTTCTTAGAACAACGTTATAGGAAAGTGTTTATCAGGTTATTTGTGTTCGATAAACGTTCTCATAACGTTCCAGCAACATTATGCTAACCTTAGGATAACGTTCTAACCACATTATGCTAACGTTCCAGCAACGTTCTGCAAACATTAAGACACCGTTCCAGCAACGTTAAGCAAACTGGACATTTCCACGTTTTTAGAACATTTTAAATTAACGTTCCCACAACCAAAATGGAACGTTAGAAAAACGTTCTCAGAACCTAACTTTGTTAGCTGGGTTCTTACCTGGTTTAAGATTAGGCATTAGGCCTATTTCCCAGTGCAGTCAAGGTTGACTGACAATTCTGACTAGTTTAAAAAGTGCATAAACCTTTTCTAAAACAAGAATGAAACATCCTTACCAAGCTGGAAGACCAGAAGAGACATCATTCTAATTTGAAAATGGAAATAACTAGTGGTGGCCAGTCCGCTATACATAGGGACATCCGACCTACACACATAAACAGTCAAATAAGAGACTACTACACGTGGTCATGTGATATGGCCTTTTATGGAGCTCTCACGTCTGGCTATGTTTAGCATAGACATCATGATGTCTATGATGTTTAGGCTTACATCTGATTATTGAATGTCACAGCCTGTGCGTAGTAGTCAACACAACACACAAAAATTTTATATTGTATCTCAACGTTTTAAAACGTGTTGAACATAATATTGCCAATGCCACCACATGCTAATCCACCATACACTCTCAATCCAACTAGTGAACAGCGATCTTTTCTATCAGTTGAACAAGTTCTCAAACCGTTCTCGTTGCGTTCAGGAATGAGCCGAGATTCCGATGAGTGAGGTGATAACGTTATATAAATTTCTCAACTACGATGATCATGGAAATTTGTTTGTGTATTTTTGACATAAGCGAAACAAAAGTTTTACTAAAATGTTTTACAAAATGCCATTTATCAATACAAAATTGTTAAATATTTGATTTATTCCGTTTTTTGATATTTTAATTATTTACAGGTCCTAAAAAAATATGTCATTATGAGCTATCATGAGATGAATTATATCTGCATGACATAAAGAAGCACTGAATCGATTTTGAACGTGTTCTTTAAAACGAACGGTTCTAAAAAGAATCCATTTGCAGAAATGAACCGAAGATCCCATCGCTAGTTCTAATACCGAACCAATTCTCGCGAGATCGGACGAGGGAATAAGTTAAGGAAACATGGCGACGATGTCTCATTTGTTAAAGGTAAGAGACACTTTTTGCCTCCAAATTCTCCAGAAAGAGTCAAAACCCCGTGTATACGCCTATAACCTTCAAATGACTATGTTGTACCATTGACGTTTAGTGGCTTGCTCGGACTCATACGTGCATGTCCAGTGAGTTTATAAGACTGTCTTGCAGCCAGTGTTTAGCTAGCAGGCTGTGAGCTAGCTGAGATTAATGAAGCCAATAATCACAATAATGCTGGACTGCATGCAGATTACTTAAAGTCAGTTTTCACGCCACTAGGTGTTGACCCTCAGTATTATTTTGTTTATAAATGTATATCATAAAGGGGCATGTACCTGATGACAGTTAGCAGCACGCATGTTGTTAGCTTGGCAAATGATTAAATGACAGTGTTGTGACTGAGCTAATGAAATGCCTATATGTGTTGATCATATCGAGTTTCATGTGCTAATCTTTTCTTGCCTTGCATGTCATGTCACGTCACTGGGGTCAGATATTTTTAAGAGGTTAAAATATGTGAGAAAATCATTTAAGGAGTGTTAATTAGAGAGAGTAGAGACATTACTTTTTATGGAGGATGTTTGTTTTAATACAGTTAAGTGGTTGTGTGTCAAAACCTAGTGATTTGCGTAACTTACCTAGACAATATTTTGGGTGTTATATATGTTCAAACCCACCACCAGTGATATTCAAAATGCAGTCTAGAGACATAAACTAGCCTATCAGTTTGATTTTAAAAACCGTTGAAGAGTTTTTGAAATAAAATGACAGACTTCTTTTCAACTCATTTCATAGCTAGCATTTTTTATCCAAAATATGTACAATAAATAATATTTTATACACTTATTAGAATTGGAAATTATAATAGCATTTTGTGTTCACAAGTAATATTTACCTCGATTTTTACTTTTTGTTTCCATCATGTCTTAATTTCAAGCTCTTTGCTGTCTCTTTGGTAATCAAGTTCAATAATGTTTTAAAAATGTAAATCTAGTACTTGCAGTATTGTTCATTGTGATGGAAATTACACCATCACTTCTGCATACTGGCACATTGTAATTATTTATATAATTATAATTATACTAGGACTGGGACAACGTGTCATTGATTTGTAAATAATGAAAGAATTTTCATTTTTGGGTGAACTATCCCTTTAAATCTATACCTAAATGTATTTGAAAAGTAGCAAATGGCATGTTGAAAGATTAGTAAAGAATCTTTCTTTGTGACCTTACCTTAATATTACAAAGAAAACTGAAGTGATAAAAACAAAGAAATACTACAAAAAAAGTTAAAATAATTTAAAGAAATCTTCTATTTTAGTGTGTATTTTAACAACAGCAACCACAAAAATCAACCCAGGACATAAGAAATAAATTCTTGCCTTATTGTAAATGCTTTGTAAACTGCTTTTCTGGAAAGATTTTAACACAAAAGTCTTCCATAATGTCTGGTTATTTGTCGCATATTAATACAGGCATGCTCTTTTTCATCTGTTTCCTCTCCCATGTCTTTTTGCTTAGAACAAGGGTTCCCTCCAATTTGAGGACAAGTGGGATCTTATGCGCCCCATTGTCCTGAAGTTGCTTCGCCAAGAGTCTGTAACTAAGCAGCAGTGGTTCGATCTTTTCTCGTAAGATCTTGTATTATTAATTCAGATCTTTTTATATCCTACACATTAACTAAAGTCTGAGTGTCAGTCTCTCTTTCTATTCTTCAATCTCATAGAGATGTTCATGCGGTTTGTCTATGGGATGACAAAGGACCTGCAAAGATCCACCAGGCCCTCAAGGAGGACATCTTAGATTTTATTAAGCAAGCTCAAGCGGTAAGAGAGATCCAGGATTAATTGACCTGTTAATGTTCTTCAGCGGAGTCATCTCTCATTGTTGAACATTGGTGTTTAGAGAGTGCTCAGTCACCAAGATGACACTGCGCTCCTCAAGGCTTACATCGTGGAGTGGAGGAAGTTCTTCACGCAGTGTGACATTCTGCCCAAACCGTTCTGCCAGCTGGAGATCACCCTGATGGGCAAACAGGGCAGCAACAAAAAGTCCAATGTGGAAGACAGCATTGTTAGGAAGGTCAGTGGGATAAAATTGAACTAAGGCTTAATCCTAGCTTAATCTAGACCCTGTCTGTGAAACCAGGCCCGTGTCTCATGTAATTGCACAATCAATGTTTCAACCACATTAAGACAAATACATGCCGTTACAATTTATTTTAAGGTCTTCTTGTTACACTTAAGTACTGATTAATGTCAATTAACTGCATGTAGTTACTATAGGGTTATGTTAGGAGGATTAAGTTTGATTTAGGGTTAGTTGCATTCAGTAATGCATAATGTATAGTAACAAGGACACAGTAAAACAAATTGTTACCATATATGTTCTATATTACATACTCATTATATTTTACTAAACCTGTTCATCAACTTTTAATATATGTTTGAATAAATCTGTCATGAAAACAAGTTTTTATGACAGCCACAGTAGAAACATAATTGTCATAAAGTTGCCATAAACGGCCTTATGTGCAATTTCAAATGTCGGTGTAAAAATCAGATGTTAATTTTAGTCTTTAATATTGTAGTAATGTACCAACTAACAGGGATCCCTAAATAATTTACAGCATTAGTTGACGTACTGATATTTATCCAAATGATTCAATATTGAATTGAATTGAGATCGGAACTGTTTTGAATCGCAAGCCTGTGAATCGAAATTTAATCGAACTGTGAAATTTGTATCAATGCCCAGCACTATTGTTTACCTAGAATGGGATTCATTCTTTTGTTCTGCTTATGTTCTTGCAGTTGATGCTGGACACTTGGAACGAATCTATATTCTCCAACATCAAGAATAGATTGCAGGATAGTGCAATGAAGTTGGTCCATGCCGAGCGGCTGGGAGAGGCGTTTGACTCGCAGTTGGTCATCGGCGTCAGAGAGTCGTATGGTGAGATTTGCTGCAGTTCTTTTATTAGATTGAGTGTTTTTTGTTAATGAAAATTCAAAGAATTGGATGGAGTTATTAGTTCGAAGTCTCTATAATCCCTCTTCCAGTGAACCTGTGCTCCAATCCTGATGATAAACTGCAGATCTACAGGGATAACTTTGAGAAAGCCTACCTAGACTCCACTGAGAGGTTCTACAGGACCCAGGCACCGTCCTACCTGCAACAGAATGGAGTACAAAACTACATGAAATATGTACGGCCTGCCAGTGATCAGATTTTACACTTTGTATTCCTTACTAATCATGTTGGATAAAAACTGCACAGCCAAGAGGAGTGTAATGACTCCTGCTAACACAACATTTCTTCCTGCAGTCATATATTCTCATATCTGTTTACAGGCTGACGCTAAGTTAAGGGAAGAGGAGAAACGTGCACTACGATATTTAGAGACACGACGTGAATGTAACTCTGTACAAGCAGTAAGTACATGATTGTCTTTTAAATAATGCATCAATAATTCATTTATCACTATATAGGACATCAGTCGTTAAAATATTTGTCTATTGTTAAATATAAATATGAAAAATGTATTATTATTTTTAAATGATTCAGTATTTGATATGAAGTGAAAGTGAAAATCATATAGCCAGGTATGTCAGAAAACTGAAATTGTGGATTGTTTTTTTCCCCAGCTTATGGAATGTTGTGTGAATGCGCTTGTAACGTCATTTAAAGAAACTATCTTGGCTGAATGTCCAGGCATGATCAAACGGAATGAGACTGACAGTGAGTATGAGACTTGGAAATCTATATTTAAAATAATCCCTTTAGGGTTTTATATAAACTACCATTGACAATTTTGGTGTGGGTACGATTTTTTTTTTTAAATTTTTTATGTATATGAAAGAAGATTCTTATGCTGATCAAGGCTGCATTTATTTGATTAAAAATACAGTAAAAAATAGTAATATTGTGAATTATTATTTTAATTTAAAATGACTTTTTGAATTACTTTTTTTAAAATGGGTTTTCTATTTGAATATGTTTTAAAATTTGATTTATTCTTGTGATGAAAAGCTGAATATTCGATATCATTACTCCGGTATTTAGTGTCACATGAATCAGGATCCTTCAGAAATCATTCTAATATTCTAATTTGTTGCATAAGAAACATTTCTTGTTATCAGTGAGAAAACAGTTGTGCTATTTAACATTTTTGTAAAAATGTGATTAGATTTTTTTCAGGACTCTTTTAAGAATAGAAAATTCAATATATATATATAGTAACATTTATAAATGTCTTTACTTGATCAATAAAATCTGCATCCTTGCTGAGTAAAAGATATGGATTCCTTTTAAAAGAAAAATCTTACTGACCCTATGCTATTAAACAGTAGTGTATTTTGCATAAAGTTGCATTTTTTTTTTCTAATTAGCTATATAATATCTTTAAATATAAGCTTTTAAACCCCAGTGAACTCTTCATCCACAGGGCTACACCTCATGTTCTCTCTCATGGATAAAGTTCCTAATGGGATTGAACCCATGCTGAAAGACCTTGAGGATCACATCATCAGTGCTGGACTGGCAGACATGGTGGCCGCTGCTGAGACCATCACAACAGTGAGAACAACATTCAAAGCTATGAAATTCTGACCTTTGTGTTATGGATTCTCAACCATTAGGCCGCCAATATGCCATACTAGTGTTAACGTTCTTGTTCATGTGTTTCCTCAGGACTCTGAAAAGTATGTGGAGCAGCTCCTGACTCTGTTCAATCGCTTTAGTAAATTAGTAAAGGAAGCTTTTCAGGATGATCCTCGGTTCCTGACAGCCAGAGACAAAGTGAGCACACCGCCCCATCCGTATTCATTCTCACTGTCTTACAGTTGGTCTCAGTAAGTACCATGCATGACTAGATCACACTGCAGATGGTTACCAGTGATCTGTGATGACACAGGAGAACATTGGAAGGTTATACAACAGTAATCCATTAGAAACACTGTTGATGTTACTGGAAAATGAATTGATTTGTTTATTTTACATAAATAAAGTGTTTGTCTTGCGTACATTTTGAATAACTATATGTAACATATAGTTTTTAATTTCCCCCAGGCATACAAAGCAGTTGTAAATGATGCCACAATATTTAAGTTGGAGCTGCCATTAAAACAGAAGGGGTGAGTAACGGTTTCTAGTGAGAAGCACAAAATAACCTTCTTTTAACTTCATTGTGGAGTGCTGCTAATGGACACTTTTCACATTTGCGAGATTCTCCGAAAAGAAGTTGGTATAGTTGGCTAAACTTCTGTAGCAGTGAACAGGAACTACAACAAATATATTTTTGCGCTCCCATTTTCTACAATAGCAAAAGAAAAAAAATCCATGATAATGTTTCTATGACTTTCAAAAAGTTATAATACAACAAATATATTTTTTGAACTAACCCTTTAATGTTTCTAAATGCAGAGTTGGACTCAAAACACAACCAGAGTCTAAGTGTCCGGAGCTGCTTGCCAACTATTGTGACATGCTGCTAAGAAAGACACCCCTTAGCAAAAAGCTGACCTCAGAGGAGATTGAGCTCAAACTGAAGGAAGTGGTGAGGTTATTATAACATGTCACATGTTGTTATTGTCCTCAAAAGTGTTACGAAATGTAATACTACTAATTCCTTCCTGTAGCTGCTTGTGCTAAAATACGTCCAGAATAAGGATGTGTTCATGAGATACCACAAAGCCCACCTGACCAGACGTCTGATCCTGGACATCTCAGCGGACAGTGAGATAGAGGAGAACATGGTCGAGTGGCTGAGGGTGAGAATAAAAGACAAATGAGTGACTTTTTCAATTTGAGTGTTTTGTATTTTAATGGCTCACTGTTTGCTTCGTTCTGGCATGCTTCAGGAAGTTGGGATGCCTGCTGACTATGTGAACAAGCTAGCTAGAATGTTCCAAGACATCAAAGTGTCTGAAGATCTTAACCAGGTTTTCAAGGAGGTGCACAAACACAACAAGCTGGCTTTACCAGGTGACTTACAAGCCCAGTTTTTCTATATATATATATGTGCATTTACACTACCTTTGATAGGTTTGTGGTCAGTAAGATTTTTCACCAAAGAATCATGGAAAAAATGTATTATGGTTTCCTAAAATAGTTTCTTGAGCAGTACAGCATATTAGAATGATTTCTGAAGGATCATGTGAGACTGAAGACTTGAGTAATGATGCTGAAAATTTGAGCCTGCAGAGCCAATGGGTGGAGCTTGACATCCAGCTCCTCCTCTCTGGATGTTAGGGGTGGAGCTCCACTCTGGCCCTACCCATAAATCTATCCCTAAACCAAATTTGGTCAAACTCCATCATAGTGAACACTTGTGATAAATATTAGTGATGATGTGATGTGGCTTGTTTTTCGTTTGGACAGTAGTTCCTAACTTCTCTTTCTCTCCCTTTCTGTTACTCAGCGGACTCTGTGAACATAAAGATCTTGAATGCTGGAGCTTGGTCACGCAGCTCAGAGAAAGTGTTTGTGTCTCTGCCCACTGAGCTGGAAGATCTCATCCCTGAGGTGGAGGACTTCTACAAGAAGAACCACAGCGGCCGCAAACTCCACTGGCACCACCTCATGTCTAATGGCATTGTGGGTGTATTTTATACACTTTAGGTGTTTAATGCTTAGTAGTGATTTTTAACTGTAAATGCTTGCAACTTCGAACTAATCAGTCTATGTGCTGTCTGGTAGATCACTTTCAAGAATGAAGTAGGGCAATATGACCTGGAGGTCACGACCTTCCAACTGGCTGTACTTTTTGCCTGGAACCAAAGACCACGCGAGAAGATCAGCTTTGAGAATCTGAAACTTGCCACTGAGCTGCCTGACGCTGAACTGAGACGAACTCTCTGGGTATTCTATTAATCAACATGAAATGATTCTATTAATCGTCTTGAAATTATTCTATTAATCAATATCAAATGATTCTTTTAATTAACATCAAATGATTCTTTTAATCAACATCAAATGATTCTTTTAATCAACATCAAATTAATTTAAGACAAACTTAAAAGCACTCTGGAAAATTTTTGCACAAGAATTGCACTTTTTGTGTTGGTTTTCATTTAAAACAGAACTTTGTCTGCATTAAAGATTTAAAAAAAAAAAGAACATGCACGGAAAAGTTATAAAAAATATTAGTTTTTGTTCATAGAGTGGAAAACATTTTGAAATTACGCAAACTGGCAATAGAAAAGCTGAAAATGACTTATCCCCTTGAAACCCTATTGGCTTCTAGTATTTAAATAAAGTGTTGGTTAAAGGAATATTCTGTAGTCTGAAAAAAAAAAATTTTAGTTTTTTTTTTTTGTGCTTTATTTTCTGAATTTAGATTAGAATATATTATAATTTATTATTGGAATATATTAACAATAAATTATCCATTTAAAAACTTTCTATACTTCCCCAGCTTTAACATGGGTGCACTGATATAAAAATTCTGACCAATATGGTTAAGCCGATAATTATCTTTCTGGTCGATAACTGATACATAATTAAAATTAAAGTGTTATACTATTTTGTGTCGACAAATGAAAAATAAAACACTAAGAACTAAAATCAATCATAATGTTACAAGTAGGGCTGTCAAACGATTAATGTTTGTGTTCAAGCTTTGTGTTTAAAAAATATATATGGGTATAATTATTTTATATATACCTGTATGTAAATACACACACATGCTTGTATATATTTAAGAAATATTTTCATGTATATACTGTATATATATTTATATATAATTTATATTCTATATAAATGTAAATATTTTATATATAAATAATATTTTTATATTTTTTTCTTAAATATACATGCATATATATATACAAAACAATTATACACAGTGCTCCCACATATATTATGTAAACACAAGCTTTTATTTTGGATGCGATTAATAGCGATTAATCATTTGACAGCCCTAGTTGCAAGTGAAAATTAATTTAGATATCACAACATTATAATGTCCAGTATAAAAAGGGATATTCATTTTGAAATTTGATTACATTTTATCAGTTTTTCAATTACTAGTGTTTTTAAAAATTAATTAGAAAAATCAAACATTTATTGATTTGAGAAGTTATAATATCTTAGTTTATAGGCATTGTAACATCACCATTTACTTTTTTCTCCTCTCTTTTTGTTCAGTCTCTTGTTGCCTTCCCAAAGCTCAAACGTCAAGTGCTGTCATATGAACCGCCAGTGAGCTCTCCCAAAGACTTCACGGACAGCACATTGTTTTTCGTCAACCAGGAATTCTCCTTGATGTAAGGACATCTCATCACCTGTTTTGACTTTTACTCACTCTTTCATTTACTTAGAAATTTCAGAAACAATCGTTTTGTTTTTTCCTCAGAAAAAATTCCAAGGTTCAAAAGAGGGGAAAGATAAACCTAATCGGCCGATTGCAACTGACGACGGAGCGAATGAGAGAAGAGGAGAACGAAGGCATCGTCCAGCTTAGAATATTAAGAACACAGGTACAAAATAAAATTAAAAAAAAATCATTACTAGTGCCCTCTGTTCACTAACACTAGTCACTATGCTCCAAGTGTACTTCGGGCTTAATTCGTTTCGTTAACATTTCAGGAGGCCATCATTCAGATCATGAAGATGCGTAAGAAGATCACAAACGCTCAGCTGCAGACCGAGCTGGTGGAGATCCTCAAGAACATGTTCCTCCCTCAGAAGAAAATGATCAAGGAACAGATCGAGTGGCTCATTGAGCACAAGTACATCAAGAGAGACGAGACGGACATTAACACCTTCATCTACATGGCGTAGCGCGGAAACGACTCTTAAGATGACCTGTAACCGTTCCCAAGGACGACGTACCTGTCGAGGATCAGCAGCGGGGGGAGGGATGGTGGTGTCTCAAAGATGCTGCTGGTCTGGTGGCCTAGTCATGAGCTTGTTTTTACGACAGACAGTCACACATCAGATAAAAAATGTATTTAAAAAAAATCCCTGCCTTACCTTACAGCGAAGACACATGGGGATCAGAATAGGAGATTAAAAAAATAGGAAAAAAGACAAAGGATTCTATTTTTGCCATTGGTAGTCAGAATGCATGGAGGGCGTTTGGCCTTTTGTAAGTGTACATCTCCAGCAGCATGCGGTCAGTGTGAATGTCACATTCATCCGAGGACTTGCTTGTGTGTGCCGTGTAACGAGTGTTTTTATTTTTTATTTTTTGTCCTTCCCACATCCTCCGTCTGGACCTGCCATGTCCCATCCGTCCCATCGTCGCCACTGCAAACACCTGGCCGTGAACACTGAGGAGCGCGGGCTGGGATGGAGGACTAGCATTAGCACTTTTCACACTCTCTGCCACTGTCAGCATGGATTTATTTGGATTGTTTTTCACATCTTTGGGTTTCGTTTCCACTTTTTTTTCTTCGTCAGAAGCTTGCAAACGTTGAACCTTCTTTAAGCTACAAAAGATTTGATTGGCTAATTGCAGTTTAGACGACAAGTTACTCTTCAAAATGCCAGGAAATTCTGCCGTTCGAATGTCACAAAGGGTCATGGTCTGCGGAGAAAATCTGGCGGTTTTGATGTTTTTATTTGTTTTGCTGTAAATGCATTATCAGTGAGACGGTCAGTGTAATGTAGTTTTTGTTTACGACTCCGAATTTTCCGTTATCTGTCTCGAATAGTGACTGAGATGCTGACTGAATTGTTCCAGGAACAGCTAACTCATTGAACCTGTTGGATTTGAGTCACAACTCCAATTTATTCTCATTACCCCATCACAGCTGAGCGCACACACAAGCTGTAAAGCACAGTTACATGAGTCCGAGTTAAGCAAGCACCGCTTCAACCTCAGGTAAAGTAGGGCAGAGTTATTTTAGTAGGTTGTGCTAACTTTAATTGGCGCCTCGCGGTTCTTGCTAAACACACATTGCCAAAGCAAAGCACAATAGTGCTGATCTTGAAATCATTATAGAGATTGTTTTCCCTCTATTTTCGGGGCTCCCCTGAGAAAGCCTCGTCATTTGTCGCCACATTTAGTGGGAAACGTGATTTGTTAGTATCCTATTATGTGTCTCTGAACAAACGCTTGTGCAATTACTGATCAGCTGTTTATTATAATCAAATGAACTGTCATGGTTATTAGCGTTTAAGTGCAAAAAAGTATTAATATGGATAACGTTGTTATCCAGGCAGATTTCGTATATATAGGCAGTCTAGGATGCAGTTTCTTCAGTGGGTTTCAAATGACGGTTGAATCAAACAATGTGTTCACCATAAATCAGCCATTCAGTGTGTCGTCTGGAGAAAAAATACTAAACTACCATTTTCTCTGGCTGATTCTATCAAGTTTTGATTTTAAATTGATCTACACTCAAACTAAAGGGGCGTATAATGAGTTTCTGAGAAGGTCCCAAATAAAATCCACAGTGATATTTTGATAAAAGTCCATGTCCACTATAACTTTTCCTGTCAGTTATGTATGTTTCTTCAGTTTTTATTACAGATCAGTCACTCATTTGTTTCCCTACTGTTGGATTTCACATGGTAACTCAAAATAGTGAACAGGTTCCATTTGATTATACTGCGAAAGCGTTGTTTATAAGATCCAGATGTACAATGGTGTTTGAGAACATTGAGTTCGATTGTCCTCTTTATTTATTGATAACTTAAGCATGTTTGAGTGGGTGAGAGAGAGATAGAGTGTGTGTGTGTGTGTGTGTGTGTGTGTGTGCCTGCACGCTTAGGAGCCTTTTACAACAGGGTGATGTCATCCTGTTGCATTTATGAATTTTCATTTTTGGAGTTTAAAATGGATGATTCTGCCAAATGTATGTTTTCCTCTATCAATTACTCTTGGTAAATACATGTTATTTTAGTAGGACAAGCACTATTATTTTCATATTTATCAATCACAGTTGGCGTTGTGTGCTTGTGTTATTCGGGAGCCCATTGTTTTTTTGTTTTTTGTTTTTTAATGACATCAAATGAAATGCAGTCCCAAAAGCTGAAATGTCAGTTCATTGTAGTGGAAGATGATGAAACTGAATAAAAATGTTGTGAATTACCTTCCAAGGAATGCTATATCAAATTATGGATTATACTTTATTGTTTGCAAATTGTTTTCTCTGATGCACATGGAATGTTCCAGTAACAAGAGTCAGTGATATAATGCAATAAGTGAGCGTGAAACAAAACATTTTGGAATCTGTCGATGGAATTTTCTGTAATAAAGTTGCGTCCACATATAAACACTCACTATTAAGTTGATTATATTGGACTGAAATGGTGAGATGGGGTGATAAATATTTTTTTCTTTCAACTTCGTGGCTGGCACATCAGTATTTTTGTCATTCTAATATGATAACATGTACTTATCGTTTGTTTGTTTTTTTGTGTCTCTATATCACATACAGGAGTGGTGTTTGTGTCTTATTTATCACTCTCCTGTTTTGTAGAGTGTCTTCCATTATTGTCACAGCATAGAAGTTTTGTTCATTACAAACAACGAGTTATATTTATCCAAACACTGACCAATGTGTAAAGGTTTGTGTTTATTCATAAAAGCATCATCTCATTCAGATCACTTTACTTTAGTGAGATGTTATTTGTGATGGTTTCTGATCACTATTCCAAGCAAACTAGTCAGCATTAGTTTGTATGACACATTAGGACAGTTCTGCAATTATTCCCGCATACACAGTTCAGTAGAAAACTGAACACATAAGTTCCCTGTAGTGTGAGAGACTGCTGTTGCAACAACAACAAAAAAATGTACGTCGTGTGGTTCCGAGAAGGTGCATATGCACTGCCTATGACTGTCTGTTTTCAAGATTTCATGCCTGAAGCCTTAAAAGCTTCAAGAATATTTGAAAATTATGAAGTGAATGTGTGCCATTGTACAGTGAGGATCTGGAACGGATGCTATTCTTTATGTGCGAGTGAACCATTTTCATGTCCTGGATTTTTTTTTATGTTGCATAATTTATTTACTGGCAAAATAAAAATATTATTTGATTGAGTCTTGTGAGTCTTGTCTTGTTTCTACAACACAGAACAAATTAAGGTCAATCCCATAAACCCTGTGCAATAAAATGAAAGGTTTCTTTACCAATGAGTGTATGTTATTATAACTGAAAATTGCATTAGTAGGTCTAATATGTTTATATGACATAAATAATAGCTATTTCAATATAATGCATGGTTTGGATGTTTAATTTAGATGATTAGTGAGTATAATCATGTTCATGAATAAATAAATATTTTATTTAATAAAAACTGACAAAAAATATTTAAAACCAACAAATTGATTGTAAATTGGGTAATTATTAGTATTTACCTGCATAAGAAAACGTTTTGTGTAAAACTTTTGTCAATACTTTTATTATTTTTAGAAAAAAGCAATATACAACGAAATAGCAAGCATGCCTGATTTGGTTTCAAGCCAGGGAAGAACTATTAACAAACAATAAAATATGTAACAAAGACTAAACTCCGCCCCACGTTTGAACCAATAGGAAGTAATCAATTTACATGTGGTCCAAAATTGGGTTTAATGTAGGATTTCTGCATAAATTCACATTTACATAAACTTCATACTGTGGGAATGATTAATATGTATGTCATAGCGTAATAATGCTACGGTATTAAATGGAGTTTCATAGATTAAACTCACCATTGATGTAAAACATAGCGTGGCAGCGACCTTTATTTACAAGTAACTCCCACCCTCACAAATGCCCGGATGAACCTCGGTGGTCCGGGGTGCAGGCTTCAAACCTGTAGCTGCCTAGCGGCAGAGTGGTTCAATTCCACCTTTCGGGCGACTAGATAGGAAATAAATGGTCGTTACATATTGATAACATGGTGGAATATGCACACTATTTTGTTTAAGACCACCACGAGAACATAACTTCTGTTAAACCCCGGAAGTTCAGCCGAGAAAATATCCAATCAGCGAAGTAAACACTCCACCGAACCAATCGCGATTCTCACACTAGCATGTGTCATAGGAAATGACGTATGGTGCCCTTGGTTAGCTTTGCAGCGTGTGCTGGACTAAGAGGCTAGCAGGCTAATACTGATCATGTAAAATTAAATTAAACGTTCTCCGATTGCGTCATTCCCCGGTAAGAGTGATGAACTGTATAGATTAGGATTAGTATTATTAGTATTTTTGGATTTCAGCTTTTTGTATGATAAAGCAAATATTTGCATCCTATAAGCTGTAGCATATCAGCTAGTGTACAGTTTTACTTAATATATATATATATATATATATATATATATGAAGAGTTCAGATGCAAAAGCCTCTAAGTGCCATTTGAAATTTTCTTTTTTTTATTAAGCTTGTATATTTAAGTTCAGTAATTTCACTTAAATGGCAATGAAATTGCATAAAATCGAATACATGCAGTGTGTATTTAATAATGTATGTATGTATTTTTGTATAATGTCTAATCCATGGACCTACTCATCCCTTCCTTCTAAGGTTTTGCCCAACAAAATGCCTCTACACAAATATCCACCAAAAATCTGGGAAGCCTTGAAACTGCAGACTGGCATCTATTCCCGTCTACCCCAGCACTACCTGCGCTCTATGCAGGACACTACCCCTGCCACTCCAGTGCACTGGAAACCTCTGGGTGTCAAATACAGACCCAATCCTAAATCCGGACACAAAGAGCGAGTTCAGGATGTGCCTATCCCAGTTTATTATCCGCCAGAATCACAGAATGGACTCTGGGGTGGCGAAGGCTGGATATCTGGCTTTAGATATGCCAAAGGTGACAAGGTAAGACTAAAGAGAGAACTACTGGAATATGAATTTAATGTGAATAGAGGGTACTATAAATTAGAGTGTAACTTGAAGACAGGTGACTTACCCCATATTTTTTATCTGATATGTACTTATGGATATGAATGATCGCATCAGCTCTCTACAAGACTGCGCAAAACCTGGAAGCCCCAGTTGTTTAACAGAGAGCTGTACAGTGAGATCCTCGACCAAAAGTTCACTGTAACCGTCACATCTCGCACACTGGACCTCATTGATGCCGCTTTTGGCTTCGACTTCTACATTCTGAAGGTGAGAATCCTCACAAGTCTGTGGCATTTAGTGTGTTTCATTATTTTACAAAAATATTATAAAATTATATAATAATAATGTTATATTTAATGTTTAAAATAGATATTTATTATGAAGTCCATATGTTTTATTTATTATTCTAAATTATAATACATTTATCTAATATGTTTTTATAGTAATGTTTTAAAAAAATGTTTATTCATCATTATTATGAGATTACAATAATTCTATATAATACTAATAATACATCTTTGTATTATATTTAGAGTATAAAAGTTTTATTTATTGTATATTTATTACTATATTAAAAAACATTAAGTCCTTAAAAGTCTGTGGCATTATTTTACAAAATTATAATACTTTTATGTAGTTTATTACATTTTAAAAATATATTTTTGTATATTTATTATAATATTACATTATTGTATAAAATATGTCATTTGCTAAACAGAAAAAACAATTATTTAAGATTATTATTTAACAATTATTATTGTAAGACATGCAATAAGAATAAATTATGTAAACAATTTTAAAACCATTCTTGTGTAAAGGGTTATTCAGTGCAATGTACTGTAAAAGTTCATATAGAAATACATTTTTAAGGATTTATTCAAGAAAAGTTTAAAGCATAATCTGGTCTGTATTTTTGTTAAATCAGACCCCAAAGCAAGATTTGAACTCCAAGTTTGGAATGGATCTAAAGCGTGCGATGCTTTTACGTCTGGCGCGGAAAGACACGGATCTGTTCCCCGATGATCCGTCTCGCAGGGAGAAAATTTACAACCGCTACAAGGTTAGATAAGTTGATTACAAGATGTATATTTGCAGCCTATGGTGTTGATAATCAGCCTGTGTGTTTTCCTCCATTTGCCTTACTCGCATTTCTTAAAAGCAGCAGTTTGAGATTGCAGAGGAAGAGGCTGAATGGGTGGGTTTGAGTCTGGAGGAAGCAGTTGAGAAACAGAGACTTCTGGAAAAGAAGGTATAATGAAATGAACGGGAATGTGAAGGACGGGAACTGCATGTCCGCTCACTGTCATCTGATAAATCTTACTCGTTTTTTTTTTTTTTTTCTTAGGATCCAGAGCCTCTTCACAAGAGTTTGGTCAAGCAGTTTTTGGAGGAGCTCACCATTAAGAAGCTCTCAGAGCCTCAGATAGTGGAGAAAAAATGAGGACGGTTCTCTTCTCTGCCATTCTCCATGCCTGTCATACAGTCTGAAGAATAAACAATAATGTATTTATTTTCTATTAACATCTCCATCAACAATGCGCTTGTCTTCTGTAAATATGCCATTTATACTTAGTAATAAATTGATTTGCCAATCTGACTGGAAAGCCTTATTTTCTGGCCGTGTTTGGACACTGAAACAGCCTTTTTTTTTTTCAGTCTAGTTTTTTAACATTCCAGGAATTTTCTTTTTTGTAACCATAGACTAATATTCTCATTCGAGTTGTTTTTTTTGCTTTTTTGGGGGGGGGGGGGGTTATTAACGGTTATTTTTAGATTTTATATTTAAGAAACGTATAACATCAGAACATTCTGAGAACCAGAAATGCTACATAATGAAAATATACAATTTATAGTTCAAGATGTTTACATTTCACACATAATTTTCCTTTCATGCTATTGCACGTTAGACAACACATATTTCAGGTCGCAGAATTAGTTTGAATCACTTTCCTTGTCTGTGTTTGTCCATTCAGGAAAGGTTTGTGAGTTAAGAGGGGAGAATTTTTAAGACACTTTCTGCGAGCTACATATTTACGCCAGTACGGTGACTCATTGAATCACTCACTCAAACAATTCGTTCAAAGACAGGAAAGAAACGCCATTGCTCTGTGTTGCTCAGGTTCTACTTTGACTTCGTCTGGACGGTTGTCGGTGAAAGAACAAAATATACACAAGTGGCTATATTAAGTCTAAATTTGAAAGTTATAGATTAATTTCTTGATTCAAAGCTCTTGTATAAAAGTAATGTCCCTTTTTTGTGACAAAACCAGTTTTGTGAGATACTTGTTCAATAAGCAGTGTGATAATATTACATTACATTGTCATTCCTGTCAAAACAATAATGATTCTCATTTATAATTTCACATTACAGACATAGTGCAACTAGTTCTTTTAGAAATGCAAATTTTGTGTCTTCTAAGTTCCTTTTGGCACCTTATACTTTATTACAGTGGAGATGGAATGATTGCCCAATACAGGACTTTCTGTGTGTGAGGCATCATTTCCCTAGAGCCAGTCGATGTTAAATCCTAATAAGTTGCAATATAACCTATCCAGACACACAGAAAGAGGGAGAGAGAGCTCTGCTGCTAACTTTTAAAGGTCATGAGTCATGTGGACTGGGGTGTGGGAAGTCACACTTCTCATAAGAGCTCAAGTACTCAACACACACACACACACGCACAAACAAATCCTTCGTTTAAAAAATACTGACATTCCAATATTAGGTCATTATGAATGAAATAACTTTTAATAACCAAACCAACAATTTAAAGGGATAGTTTACTTTGAAATTAATTTGATATGTTTTAGCTTACCTCAAGGGCATCCAAGATGTACGCGTCTTTGTTTCCACACTTTCAATTTTAACATTTTTCGGTCAAACCGTTGTTGTCTGCCAGTCATATAATGCAGTTTTAGGGGGTCCACCTCAAAGAGCATGCACAGAGAGAAGTCAAAATTAAGTACACATTGATGGCCTAAGACACGAAACAAGCAGTTTCTGTGAGAAAACGAACAGTATTTATATCGTTTTTACCTCTTGTTTACAGCCGTCGAACTGATCTGAATCAGATGTTCGACCGAACTGAGCCGTCTCTAAAGTTACGCCGGAAGTGATCTCTCGCGCGCCTAACGTCACGCACGGAGATTTCGGAAGCTTTACATTTCACTAAATATATTTAGATATACGGGAAATCGCAATTTCGATATATCTAAATATGTTTATGAAAGGTAAAACTTCCGAAATCTCCGTGTAAACAATGCGTGACGTAGACGTGCAAAAGATCACTTTCGGCGTAACTTTGGAGAAGTTTCACTTCGGTTCAGTTGGACATCTGATTCAGATCAGTTCAACGGCTGTTAACAAGAGGTAAAAATGATATAAATACTGTTCGTTTTCTTACACAAACCTCTCGTTTCGTGTCTTAGGCCATCAATGTGTACTTACATTTACGAGTCATTAAATCATGTTTAATTTTGACTTCTCTGTGCATGCTCTTTGAGGTGGACCCACTGATACGGAATGACATCATTATATATATCAGTGGTTGGACCCCCTAAAACTGCATTATATGCCCGTCAGACAACAACGGTTGACCAAAAAAAATGTCAAAATTGAAAATGCTGTGGAAACAAAGACACCTACATCTTGGATGCCCTTGAGGTAAGCTAAAACATATCAAAAATTAATTTCAGAGGGAACTATCCCTTTAAGCCTCGTGTCTAAAGTTCAATGAAACTTTAGGAGGCTGTTTTGTCAGAGATTGTGACATGCTGAATGTGTCTGGGCCGGCTTTTGTTTTTGAACCCTATATATAGTATCAGAGAAGTGCAACAAAGCACAGCAATAGAATTAGTGAATGAGGAAGTAACTGCACACTGTCTTTATCTGATTACCCGTGTTGCTTGAATCTGGAAACGCACATGAAGTCAAGAGTTTGCAGGAATTGAATTCACCCTGTTAATGTGATGAGGTTGATTTGGTAGGAAATCTGCCCACTGTAAAGATGGGAAGAATTTATGATTCATCCCGTGACTTTACCAATTGTTCAAGGGGACAGTCAAATGGAGTCACAATATTCATTTTCCAAAACACACTTTTAATATCAACAGCAAAAGGATACTATTAGAGAAGCAGAAAGCGGCAATATTTGCAAGCAACTAATGGATTTTCACACAAAACAATGAGAATCACAGCAGTATTACTGACATTATATACGAGTATACAAATGGACGAAATGCTTTCCAATGATCAAGATCATGAATCCAGCTTCCTTCAACGTTCATAAGTAATTAAATGTAGTTAAAACACAGAAAAAAGCGCTAAAATCTTTTTGACTACATTCATTTTAGTTGTTTAACTTCACAGCATGACGTAACCAGACAAGACTTAAAGCTAAGATGCAGCCAATCAGAACACATTTAATGTTTAATATACAACTAATATGAAATTTTAGACCAATTAAAATTTCTCCATGGGCAAGGCTAACCTGACAAATGATCATATTGCTCTTCACAAACTGTTTGAGGTGTGTTCACATTAACAGAGATTAAATTGCCGAAGTTTAGTTGCATGATAGCTGCTGACTACTCGGAAACCAATCATGTCATGTTCGCTGTCATGCAAAAAAACGAGTCCCCAACAGTATCCACGCCAAAGTGATTCCATTGACACACCATTTTTTAATGGTTACTCTATTTGGTGCCTAATAAGAGATGTCATTTACATTACATTTATTCATTTAGCTGACGCTTTTATCCAAACCGACTTACAATTGCCATATATGTCAGAGGTCGCACGCCTCTGGACCAACTAGGGGTTAAGTGTCTCGCTCAGGGACACATTGGTGTCTCACAGTGGATTCGAACCCGGGTCTCTCACACCAAAGGCATGTGTCTTATCCACTGCGCCATTAAACAATTAAACATTTCCCTTTCTTTGTGTTTTCAGTTAGAAAACTGAAAGTTTGGTTAGCAAGTTAAGGGGACATTTACACAGAACGTGTTTTTGCATTTAAAAACATGAGATAAAAAACAATATCTATATAAGTTAACCGGCTTTGAACTTCGGCATGTTTTCAGAACATTACGCCATGCACAAGATGCAAGCCACGAAAACAACGTTCAAGCTTCCATCTAGCGCTTGTTTACTGAGAAAAACAATAGAAATGCAACGGAGAATGCAAAAACGCGTTTTGTGTGAACGAACCCCCACAGCTTAGCATAGTGATGTACTGTTTACCAGATTTCACGATAACAAACTATGTTTTTGTTCAGGAATTACCAACGACAGAAGATTTGGTGGGGGATTTTAATTGTTGATGATTACATGAAAGAAATGAAAAATCATGGTGTCAGATTGATATGAATTACATGAATAAATCCAACTGCTACTTCAGAATCATGTCTAATTTGGTCTCCTTAATGCTGTTAATTGAAATTCCTCAACAGTTGAACTGTTCAGAAATGTTCAAAACATATATCATGTTATGTGTAACATTTAAATATTGACGTGAATTTGGGTCTGGGACCATTTACTCTACTTATCTCTTCTGCTCTTAAAACCCACACAATAAATTAGAAAATGACAGACACATTTCATAACTGGCACAATAGAAGCAGTTGAGCAGCATATATAGCTCCCTTTTTACAAGAAAATGCAGTGGCTACCTGCTCCTCCTACCTTTCGTTGGCTGTCATCAGCCTCAGTTTACCGTCCATTTTCAAGACCAGTGACTGAGCAGGTGATTTACTTCATTTGTATACACTTATTACCTAACTGGAAGTCATAGTGCCAGCTGAACAGGTTTTTTAGTCAATAACAATTGACTAAGTCTTTTCCTGGTTCGGAATGATTTTCTAGTCAGCAGCGACTGTATATCCAAAATCCAAAAGTCCACAGTGGTTTTCAATGGTCCAGGTCATTCTCGCTCTTCACCGAGGGGAAAATGAGGCCTTCGATGTTCTCCAAATCGGCTGGATAGGCCTGATTCTCATTCACCATCTGACTGAATTGCACATCATTTATAGACGCCATGTTCAACATAGATTGGTTGACGTTTGAGTTCGTATCTGTGCCGTCTAAACCGAAGTTTAAATCAAGGATCTGGTTTAATAAAAAATGCTCTGAACCTGGCTGAGCCAAGCCTTGGAAGAAGGTTTCTAAAGCCTCTGGGTCCATGCTAATGCAACCGTCCTCTTGTTTAAAGTCTTCATTATAGTGGATTTCCTCCATGCCCTGGGTTAACATGTGGATGCCTCGATCCTGAACATTGGGAACGGTACAATCGGGAAGAGTGTAGAATGGATCAAAATGCTGTGACATGCCAGGCTCGTTCACAATGAGGTCTTGACCTAAGGGAGCATGGAAGGTAAAACTGATGTAGTCAACAACGTTTCAGAGAATGATATTAAGATTTTCATAAGAAAAAAGTAAAGAAAATATCCTTACTGCTGCATGGCTCGCTGAACTTGACATCCGATTTGATTTTTCTCTTGCGGTTCACTCCGTAGGGATCTGCAGATCAAAATTCAAATTCATCAAAATCAAATTTACCTCCCTTCAGTGTTATAAGGTGACATGAGCATGTGATGGCTAAAATGGCACAGATTATAAAGGAATCATCTGTGTTTTGTAGACAACAGAAGACCTATTATGAAGCATTACACTTTTCTCATGCATACTTTCAGTTTAAACTACCATAATGCTGCCTATTTATAAATCATATTTATGAAACTGGCACGGTGACACACCTTTTTATGCAATATTTTAGAAACTAGCAAGAGAGGAGGCGAGTCATTTCTGAATCATTTTGGAATTTTGGCTTCAGTTAATTCATCCTGTTAGCCTGCTTTTGTATTCTACTACTTTAAAACACAAGCAACCAAAAAAAACACACATAAGAAACATTTTTAGGATCATCTTAAGAATTTTTTTCAAAAATGATAATAATAAGAAATGTTTCACCAAATCAGCACATTAGACTGATATCTGAAGATCATGTGACACAGCATCACAGGAATAAATTACTTTACCTGTGAATTAACTTGGATGGATTAATTGCTCACCAAAAGACTAGTAACGTACATTTTGATTTCATGATGACTTTTAAATATATTTACATAGAAAATATTTTGATCAAATAAATGCAGCCTTGGTGAGCAGAAGAGACTTTTTTCGAAAACACTTAACATCTCACCAACCCCAGACTGTTGAACAGTAGTGTTACATATTGTGGTAGAATTTGTGATACTTTTTACATTTTTTTATCTTAATAAAAAGAAGAAAAATCTGTTAAGATTTCATTTAAATAGTATTATCCTCAGTAAAGTCTTGGGGTTGCTGGAGCCTATCCAGCATCTTTAACAGGATAATATTTAATGAATTAATTTAGAAATTAATTCGGTACTTTCCTGTTATCCGGACCCCACCATATACCATTTAGGAACTATAGTCATCCCTGATTGGTCTTAACCCCAGTGATGGGTAGGTTTAGGGGTAGGCCATCGTCCCTGATTGGTCTTAACCCCAGTGACGGGTAGGTTTAGGGGCGGGGTTAGGAGTAGGCCATCGTGGGGTCCGGATCCCACCATATAACATTTAGGAACTAAAGTCATCCCTGATTTGTCTTAACCCCAGTGACGGGTAGGTTTAGGGGCGGGGTTAGGGGTAGACCATCATCCCTGATTGATCTTAACCCCAGTGACAGGTAGGTTTAGGGGCGGGGTTAGGGGTAGGCCATCGTCCCTGATTGGTCTTAACCCCAGTGACGGGTAGGTTTAGGGGCGGGGGTTAGGAGTAGGCCATCGTGGGGTCCGGATCCCACCATATAACATTTAGGAACTAAAGTCATCCCTGATTTGTCTTAACCCCAGTGACGGGTAGGTTTAGGGGCGGGGTTAGGGGTAGGCCATCATCCCTGATTGGTCTTAACCCCAGTGACAGGTAGGTTTAGGGGCGGGGTTAGGGGTAAGCCATCGTGGGGTCCGGATAACAGGAAAGTACCATTAATTCTAATATTTTCATCTTTTGATTTTGAGGTGGCTTTCCTTACAACGTTCAGCCATGTTTGATAACTCACCTGCGTTGTCTGGAACATACGTGAACTTGACTGGCTCGCTGTCCATGCGGTCAGATATGCGGCGTAGACACACGCTGACCTCCACCTCCTCAGATATATTCTGCTCCCTGAATGGTGGGGACTTGAAGACAATGGCGATTTGTCTGTGGACGTCCGTCTGAGCAAACTCCGCCTTGCCCTCCCAGTCCTCCGTGCTGAAGATTATCTCGATGTCATCTATAGAGGATTCCAGATATACAAATTAGTTGTTTTAGTCCAACTGTTTTGTAAAGATAGCATCAAGTAAGATGTAATAGGAACTTGAGCAATTAAATGTGGCGTATCATGTTCAGGTACCTTTCTGCACTTTGTCACAGAGCATGTAGATTTCAGTCTTTCCTGTGCAGGGGCCTCTGACCACATTAAGCCGATTGATTTTCAGCTCTGCTGTTGTGGTCGCCTCTAATCAGACAAATACAAACAACCCCAAACATCATCTGCCAGGAAACTACCACGAAATTAAGTACTTTGGTAGAGTGTATTTTTGGCCTAACAAATATCTTGCTCTTACTCTTGTCGTAGATTGGGTTGGAAACCACAGGGGCGAGGGGGATTCTTTCCCCGTCCTTTCGTTCCAGCTCACACTGGAAACACAGTCTCACAACGTTCATGTCCATGTCTTCAATGCTCTTAGAGTGGCCCGCTGGGGGAGAACGAGACAAAAACACACAAAAGTTGTTCATACTTGGCTACAGCGGAAGTGTGTTATTAGGACCATTGAGAATATGGCGTTGACCTCATTATAATTAAATTTTCAAAAATAATTTATTCAATACTGAAAAAATATTAATAAATTGCTTGGTAAATACGTTTTCTTGCTCTTTTACCTCATATTTGTGGGACACATTTTCTGCAAAGCTGCTTTGAAAAGCACTATACAAATAATAATAATAAGTATTTTATACTTCAAGTTGTGCTATAAGCTTAGCAATATGATGGTTGAGTGTTCTTATGCACTTCATGTAGCGTAGACTTATGCATGTATGACATTCCATTGCTTACTAGGTTGGGGAAACAGAGTCTGCAATTTCATTTAACGACTCACTGTTAAAAGGATCAATATTCTTATTCCTCCTCTTCTGCAGTGAGGCATCAAGTTCCTTCCTCCGCACACACTGGATGCCCAGATTTGCAAAGCTGGAAAACACCAACATACTCAGGCAGGAAATAACTTTTTTACACACTCAGATCACGTTCTGCTACGCATGCTGGTCCATTGAGGTTAATAGAAATATACCTGTGTCGACGAGCGCTGTGAGGATTGATGTGGATGACACAGATGCCATCCGAACAGTCTTTCCCAACCAAGCAGTGTGGGTGTGGCCTGTACGGGATGTCTTTTGTCACGAGAGACACAGTGACCATCACTTTCTTGATATTGTCAATGGGGCCTTTAATCTAAAGGTAAAGAGATGAAATACAGTTTTACTTTTGCTTTTGCATGGCTTCTTTGTGGTTGCATTTTTGGCACAGGCTCCTTTGTTGAAGGTACCCATGTATGGACATTTATTTGCCAATGGAAAAAATGACGGGTGAACATGTTTAGTTGTGTGGTTTAAAGGTAAATCCCTCCGTCAAAGCCCACACATTGCACAACTCTTCAGGGAGCTTTCATTTTTAGCTGCAAAGACACGTTTAACTTAATTTCACAAACAACACCACAAACCATAATGGGGGAAGCCCCACTGTCTTGGGATAGTTGGTGGATTCCAGACACACCCACTAAATTAAATAAGGTGCTCAAATATAATCATGTAAATGGAAAAACTTGACTGCATAAATGAAATTAAATGAGAGGTTCACAAGGTCTAACTGATAACATATTTAACTCCTAAAAATACGACTGTCAGCTCATTAGCAACCTTGCCAAAAGTTCTTCCTCAGACTTACTTCAATAGCAGGTAGAGTTTTGCTGGCGTCAGTGCTGGAGGCTCCAAGGATGCTACCCGCTGATCGTCCTTCGCACTCATAGCGAAATCGCATGCCACGCTCCTTTGGCTGCTCCACCACCACCATCTCAGGCTTTTCCAGGAAGCGCTCCAGATGTTCTGTCCCAGACTGCTGAGGATGAAGACACTGGGGTGCTACAGATGCCTGTCCCCGTCGCTGAGGAGACCCTTTGTGGCCTCGCAAGGGATGCATTGATGCAATTTCAGGAGTTTTCACGGTTGGGACCTGGTCAAAGCTGAACGGATTCTGTGGGAAGAGAGAAGCAAACTAAATTTTTGCAATGGAAGAAAATGAATTGCGCTTTCCCTTACTAAAGTTGTTCTAGGTGGTTGCTGGAACATTGCTATTCATTTCGTACAGTATACAGTAACTAAAATGTCCTGAAAGGTTGCCAGTGTTATGCCCTATTGCTAAAATTGTTAAAGTGTTCTGTGTAGTTTTAAATCACAGGGTGGTTGCCAGGGTGTTACTATGGAGTTGTTAATGTGTTCTGAGTGGCTTACAAGGGTGTTGCTATGCGGTTGCTAAATGTGTTCTAAACCACTTTTAACAGATTAAAGGAGTGTTCAGAACATGAACAATAACTATAAAGATAACTATGATAATATTATTAGCGTCCACACTAACGCACGACTACATTAATTATTGTAAGCATTGAATGGAGTTTGTTGTCTGTCGCTTTAATTTCTCTTTAAAGTCGGGTGGATTGTGATCGCTTTTAAAAAAGTAGTGAAAATCAAGTTTTAAATATGGTTTATATGTCTATGTGGTATTTTTTAAGACAAATTCATCAGTCAACACCATTGCTGAGTATTTTCTCCTTAAAACTGCAGTGAACCAAAGACAGTCCCAAAAACATGGTTTGAAATCGCCTGTGTGTTTTACATCACAAACTCCATTTTAACCAATCACGCCAACATGAGGGCGGGATTTAGCACATCATAAACTGTCAGTTTATCCCGGCCAACATATGTTTCTGTTTATATTTTTCAAACCGTAAGGTTGGTGGTTCCAATCCCCGGTTCCAGTGTTACGGGGTACGAATATTGAATACATGAATGGCGACTTTTGTTTTTGCCTTTTTTGTGGTGACTTTTGACGAACGTTTTTATCGTTCATCAGCTGAAAAAAAATCTCTGTGTCATTACCGTAAGTTATGTTGTGGACTTTCCTATTCTTAAAGAATTCGAAAGATTATTAAAACTTTATCGTTATTATAATATATTGTCTTTCATGTGCACTGTAATTTACAGCTGGATTTCCCGATATCAAATAAATTAACAAACAACTGAATAGAGCAAGAGACTAAACAAACAGATAAATGAAGGAATGCCAAAAGGCTTTACTTGTTTCGATAAAATAAATGGCATGCCAATCGCTGAATAATTTAGATTGCAAACACCTGCACAATGAATCAGCAACATAAAGGGTTCAGAAAACCACATCGAAAACCAGCCTGTTTTACTACCACATTGAAATCACAAGTTCCTTTTCGGACTTTCCAATATTTGATATCATTAATGGAAAGACAAACAATTCACATCCAAATCACTATGCACTATCAACAATTGAAAACCAAACAGATGTCAAACAACAGTGAGAGAGAAAGAGAAAGTGAGTGTGCAAAAGAGAGGGGGAGGGAAAAAAAGAGAGTGAATAACAGTTTGTTTGACACATGCAGAACATTTAAAGACAATGAACATAAAGAACATGATTGTAAAAAATAAATATAGGAACAAGTTTCAAAATGTTGAATTTTTGACAGACAAACACCAAGTCTGGACATGCCTGAGAATGGACTCAGATCGCTTACACAAAGAACCGCTGAGAAGAGCCAGAAAGAGCATGGTGAAGAAACAGGAAGCTCATATAGCTAGATGAAAACCAGCCAATGAGAATGTAAGAAGCAGAGAGGAGGGTATGTGCCTGTCTCCCTTTTGTATGGGGGAGAAAATCATGAGGGAAGAGAACTTTAACTGAAGCAGGCATCAAATTACAATCATCCTTCAGTGGGCAAAAAAAGCTTGATGTTATGAACAGGTTTCGATGTCTACCAATAAACGTAAGACAGTTTGTATGGCAAGTGAATACACTAAATAAGCCACAGAATTTGTGGCATCATTCATGAACAAACAAGGTCGGATGAGTTATGCACCAAATTGAATTGTAGGGTTAAAGGGGAAGCTCACCTAGAAATTAAAATCATCATTATGTTGTTCCAAATCAAACTGAGGAACATAAAAGAAGGTATTTTGAGAAATTTCTCAATGTTTTTTTTTTTCAATACAATTAAAGTCAGTGGTCACCAAAACTATTCAGTTAACAACATTCTTATTCTGTGTTTTGCAAAAGAAATAAACTCATACAAGTACTCACAACACGAGGGTGAGTAAAAGATAACAGAATTTTAATTAATTATGGGGTGAAAACACCCTTTAAGGATTTCAAAACACTATAGACAACTGCTCTTCCTGTTGATTTTAGTGTAACATCAGACTCACTTGTGGAGCTAATCCTCTGGAGACCAACTGTGGAGCGCTCCTCCTGCTTCTACATGGTGGATCAACTGGCTGGATGTCTTGGTCCGCAGGTGGAGGAGGAGGACCAGGGAGCCTCGGCTGACTCGGCTCTTTGGTTGTTTTCTCCAAAAGGTACTCGTTTATAATGTCTGTTCAGAAAGAGTTTTGACGAACATAAACTCGAGGTGTAGATAAAGAGACCACTTAAAAAGTACAATTCTATCATTCACTTTTTTTCCATGGAACACAAAAGCAGATGATCTCATGTACTTTCACTACATGGAAAAAGATGGTAACTGAGGCTGTCATGCTGAATGTACTGTATAACATCTTTTTTGGCACATGGAAAGTCTTGGTTGAAAACACAAAGGTGAATAAATAATGACATCGTTTTATGTTGTTAAAAGGATAGTTTGACAAACAAACTTAGTATATTTAGGGAAAGGAACAGAAAGTGGACAAAAAAGGTCAGCCCACAATGACTTTACATTTTGCACTCACCTAGATCTAAGGCTGCACAGGGAGACAGGAGAGAAAAACAAGACAAAAAAACAATTAAACATGCGCATTTCCAGAAAACGAAACTGAAAGCAAATTATACATATATATTACATAAACGTAGCAGTTAAGGACAAACAACATGTCATTTCAAAAACGTGTCTGCATACAACAGCTTTTCTTTATTATTAACTCTGATAAACAAACCCACTTACAAGTCAACACATTACTACAGTAGAGACATACTAAACCATTATAACCGTTCAAGACAATAAAACAAGACAGTCGCGGGCCTGTTAGTGTTATTGTTTCGATACAGGCCTAACTATAACTTTGGAAACACCCACTGCTCTTGGAAAACAATTCCTTTTTTATTATACTTTAGTATCATAAAACGTGATATAACGTGACATGACGTTTGTTATCATTTGTTCGACTTCATTGCATCATTTGCAGTATTAGTAGTTGGTTTGTCTCGAAGTGTAGTATCGTAAAACATGCTGAATCAGAGTGACAGACAACAGGGCCGAAGTAAGAAAGTGAACTGACCTCCATTTTCCGCAGTGCCGTTCCGAATGCTCATGTTTCTCATTGCAAGCACAATAACGGAGTCTCTCTGGTTTCTACTTGCACTCGTAGGTCGTTATTGTGTTGAATCTCTGTGCTTGAAAATCCACCGAAACAGCGTCAAGATCATCAGACCCGCGTTACGCACTCATTTCCGGGTGCTGCGCCTGTTTTTTTTTTTTGTTTTTTTTTTTGGAAGCGCTGAAGTTAACGGAAGCTTTTGGGAACGAAATCTCCGAATAATGTGAGAGAGCGCTGTTTCTCTTGCACACCCACTTACGATTGTGATATGACAAACCGTTCGCCCTCGTACTTCTTTCTCTTGATAGAGTCAGTAGTCTGTGGGTGGAAATCCCCCTACGTCACAACTGGGGAAACCCCAAAGATTCGTCGCCATGTCAACGACTAACAACAACAGGTGAGTTTCTTTCAAGAAAGCGCATCAGTTATTATCATCAGATGAACAATAAACACCGTCCAAAAAAAATAAATAACCTAACTGCGCTATGGTTTTCCATACGTAAAGTAGCCTAACAACAATAATAATTGATTTACTTTATATTATAGCCACAATATAAAGTAACAACAATTATTATAATTACGTAACAATTATTTAAAATAAGAATGTTAAATAATCAAAAACGCACAATTTAATATGTTAAATTACTTTATATACAAATAATATTAGCGGTAGTATATATTATTACAAATATTTAAATTATCGGGGAGCGGACACACAGAGAGGGTTACGTTATGTGTTGAAAGTCACGTGATCTAGAGTAAATGTGGCACAATAACAGGGTGTAATGAAGCACATGATCGTGCTGTTGTTTTCATCATTGCGTCAGCCTCTAATAATACATTACAGCACCGGTAAGGTAGTAAAGGGTTAGCCAATAGCTGCAATAACGCGTGTGATTAGATTTATTTCACATAATTGTTTTATTTATCGCCTCTGTCAAATACAGTGAAAGTTTCCCGTATCATAGGCTATAAATGATATTTCTTGAGTCAAGATGTATTTGTATAATATGAAACTTAGTCTTGACATTTTCCCTCGGCCAGTTGGTCATATGACAGACGTCCATAAATTGATCACGTGAACTCTCCCACGCGAAGCAAACCCCCAGATTCAGCCAACTGCTCTTTGAGGTCACCATGCAATGCCGTCACCAATCCCCATCACCCGACTGTTGCCAAAGGATTTCGGGCTTGAGTTTGGTGCGTGCAGTAGCCCGCTAACCAAAACTACGAGTGGATCTACTCTACGTGTCCCAGTCAACACGTTTCACGGTAAAGTCGCCCACAGACTGTGGTCCTCAGTGATCCACTGGCGAGAACTGCAGGCTCTGGAGCCCATCGGCAGCGGTGGATTCGGAACGGTGTTCAAAGCCACATACTTCGGCGAGACTGTTGCTGTGAAAAAAGTGAGATGTGTGAAAAACAAACTGGCTTCGAGGCAAAGTTTCTGGGCGGAACTCAATGCTGCGCACTTGCACCATCAAAACATTGTGCGCGTGATTGCGGCAACCACGTGTACTCCTGCGCACCTCAACACTAAAGACAACATCGGAACGATTGTAATGGAGTTCGCTGGAGCCCTAAATCTACATCAGGTCATTTACGGACTCGCAGCCCCGTTGCCTATGGATAAGTGCGTGAAATATTCAATAGACATCGCTCGCGCGCTCCAGCACTTGCACGCGCATGCCACAGTCCACTTGGATTTAAAACCTGCCAATGTTTTAGTATCACAACAGGGTGTCTGTAAGCTCGCAGATTTTGGCTGTTCTTTTAAACTATCGAGCAAAAGCGACACCGTGGTGACGCATCTGAGTGAAATCGGTGGCACGTTCACTCACCGCGCGCCCGAGCTGCTGAAAGGCGAGGAAGTTACTACGCGCGTGGACATTTATTCTTTTGGCATCACAATGTGGCAGCTCCTCACCCGAGAGTTGCCGTACGAGGGAGACAGACAGTGTATTCTGTATGCTGTTGTGGCGTATAATCTGCGTCCATCCTTCACTAGGGATGTTTTTATTCAGTCATCTTCTGGAAAGACATGTCAAAAGCTGATCAGTCGGTGTTGGGACAGCGACCCCAACATCCGACCGACCGCAGATCAGCTCGTCAATGAACTTTCTTTGATATTATTGTGAATTTGCACGACAAAATGCATTTAGATTTGTTTTATTGTAATGATGTTTAATATTGTAAATGTTTGCATTTTTTATTGTGAAGCAAAATATTTTTAATATATAAAGAGCTTTAATTAAATGTTTTGTTTAAATCGAGCCTTTTGTAATATTTTTGAGGTTATTTTCCTTAATGTTTACACAGAAATGTGAGAAGTTGATAGCTGAACGTTTGTGAAATAGCTTCTTTTGTAAGATACATTTTATTTTATTTATTAGTAAATAAACGTTAAGTTTCCGCATGTTATTAATTATCGTTTTACGCATAGTTAACATTAACATTCTTGAAAAATATGACCGATTTTACACGGAGCCTTCTAGTAGTCGCCATTTTGTTCACCTGAATTGAATATTACGCAAATAAATGATTAATAAATTAAAAGCTTTTCTCTTAAAAAAAAAAAAAAAAAAAAAAAAAACCGTTTGCGTGATGCTGCATCTACGGCGCTAGGTGTCAGCACAGCATTGATTGAAATCCGAAATATTGTGCATTTTCAATGTGTTTACATTTATGAATATATAACTTTATTTGCTTTCGTTTAGCTCCCGGGATCCTTTTTGGTTTATAATGTGCAGAAGGTGAAAACACGTAATTAAAATAAATTTAGGTTGACGAGACAATTTGTAGGCTATCATCCAGAATTCTGTCATGCTTTACAAAAACAGTTCTTGAGATTTTTCTTCTTCTTTTAAGTGACAACAAAAAGCTATATTCCATACATTTGAAGCTTTCAGAAGTGTAACATGACTAGAAGGTAATGCTTTTATCATCTTAGGGCCCATTGTCATACTGTTTTTTTTATATAAAAACACTAATTCACAACCCTGATAAATCCAAATGTGCTGCTCAATAAAAAAAAGAAACATTATTGCCCTGTGAATTCAAGTAATACTTTTACTATTTATGTTTTAATATATACTTAATTCTCTCTCTCTATCTCTCTCTCTCTCTCTATATATATATATATAGACAAAAGTCTTAGCTGTAGTAACCACAAAACATTTTTTCAGGCAAAAGATATTCATGCCAAACCCAGAGAGAAAGTGTACACTTTATATGGTGCAACCAAATGTTGAACATTTTTGTCCTGGTTCATTGAATAGTTTCAGTGTAAAATCTTTGCAAAATGTGTATGTTCCTTAGATGTATTTAATGTTTTAATGAGACCAATGTCACACCTGTTAAAAGCCAAAATGCAAAATACACAAGTCTTGAGACATGAATAAAACAATGTCCACTTTAAACTGCACTTATGCTTTACTATAAACATGAGTGATGAAATTTTGGAACGTACCAAAATAAAAAGCTTAATTCAGAATTACGGCACACAAAAAAAAACAGGCATTGCGTCTCACGCATTCTTGGACTGTGCTGTGCTGTGTCGAGCCGAGCCGGATGTGACGTGGTGGTCCAACTGTGGAGTGTGAATGTAATGGAACTAGTTCTCAGTTAGAAAACTGGCAATTCAGCTATTGCTAGATGTTTGACGTCAGCATGACTACGTTTTACAAGCTGAGATGCTGTACAGTTTTAGGACATAAAAAAATTTAGAGGCTTAGAAAATAATCATGATCAGTTATTAATATATACTTATATTAATACCTACAAGGCTGTTATTTCTTTATTTTTTGTTCAAGTTTGCAACATCAATTCTTGTTTTAAAAACGTGGAAAGTCTCTGTCTTGTACAGGGTAGCGTTTGAACAGAATTGGCTTCTTTTTTTTTTCTTGGCCGCCTCCATCCTACACTACACAACGCTGCTTCCTGGTATCCCTTCACACATGGAATGAACAGAACATAAGTACACAGAATCAGGAGAACAGTGAGGCTGGATTTGGCCTCTTTTCCTAACTCTTATCCTTCAAAAAAACTAAATGATATGTACTGCACTCACCCTATTCACTCCGGCCAATGGGATTTAATTATGGACCACCTAACCCTTCAAATTATTAGTGTTACCAACCCAAAAATATACAATACAGTACATCACATTTGACTTCACTTTGACTGCAAAAATATGGGAGATTGAAAAAGAATGATTTCAGGAATTCTACAATTAAATATTTCTTTTCCTGTGGATCCCACACAAGAGGAGGAACGTTGAACTGAACTTATTTCCTGCAGTCTTTTACGTAATACCATAACTCCAGTTCCCTTCCCTGACAATTAAACATAAATTCAGCCTTGCAGATGCATTATCACACCTTCGCAAGACCAGAGGGCGAGAGAGGGGGTTAAAAGGGGTTAATCATTTTTCTTCTCCCCCTCTGATTTATCTGTGATGGCAGCGGTTGTTTCGGCAGCTTCTGGCTGGGTTGAGCTGTCCTTGCTCGGGTCAACTCCGCTGGTCCCGAACTCGTTGACACGGTTGGGATCCACTCTGTAAATCCAGCGCTGGTACAGATAGATGAAGAAGACAACGTCTGTGGAGAAATGGCGGCACAGCTAATTATAGAGTGGAAAATACTAGCAGGATTAATCGACATAACACTGAGTCATATCATCAAATTCAAAATGAAACGTATGAGCACGTACCATCTCTGAGACAACCTATTCTGTACATCATTGGCATCTTGATGACAAAGGCAAACAAGTCATCTATAAAGGTATTCAGGGCCTTGTAGGTGAGCATCCTCCAGGGAAGATGAGCTACTGACTTCATCTTGTAGTTGATGAAGAGCTGTGGTGTCATGGTGATGAAACCTGTAGAAAAAAATGATGAATGTACTGTTCAACCTGTCTACACAGTCTGTCAGTAACGCTCTAATTAGTTTCTGTTTCTATAAAACCCCTTCTTCTGAAAAGCGTGGTGATTGGTCAACCACTTCCAGCCTATTTCAAAATGTTATGCCCCCTTACCATAAGTTTCAACACACTACTAACGTAACTCAACTAGGGCTCGCCCTATTTTCTTTTTGTATGCCAAATTACTGGAAAATTACTTAAGTTGTGACATGTCAAACTCAAGTGGAGGCGTTTCAGGGAGTTCAGAAACAGTGCTTACTGATATAGAGAATAACTCCCTTTGGAGTGACTTTGTCACTTTGCAATTTTGCAGAGCCTTTTTATGCTGAAACAGCAACATTTCACACTAAAGAAATTTGAAAATGTAAAAAAAATAGCATAATAGGTTCTCTTTAAACACTAGTCAAGGTTTCAAAAATCTTACGCTCAAGGTAAGAAGCTAAAAACATCAAATAAAATGAACAAAAGTACAAAACACAGGGCAAAGGTCAATCTGAATGTGTATAACTTTAACAGCTGTACTTAAATTTAAAGGCACACATTTTCTCAAAAATGTTTTTACCACCCAAACATTCTAAAATCTCAAGCAAAACATGCTGTCAAGCACACTAATGAAAGCGTTTTTTAATTAGTTAACAGGAAGTACTTTCACAAAATATTTTTAAATGACAAGTTTTGTAAGTTTTTGTAAGTTAAAGCTGCAGTTTATCACCATCTCTGTTTGAAATCTGCAATTGCAGTCATTCGCGGAATTATCAACTTCACGCGAGTTGTAGTTCGACGCCGCACAGCGCAAATAAACAAATTGAGGAGAGTGTGAAGCTGTCAGTCACTGCGTAAAGACACAAATACATGCTCGAATCTTCCGCAGAAATCCACCAGTACCACTGGAATTAAAAACATTACAAGCCTACCACTTTGACTCGAGCTACGGCAAGCAGATAACGTTGAATACTGGCTGGTTATGCATTTACTCAAATATGTATTTTGGATCATTTTAACCCAAAAAAGCTGCGGACTGCGGCTTTAATGCTGAGGACTGCGTCATTTCTGTTCTACTAGCATCACCAAACAGAATTACAAGCAACACTATTAGCGACACAGATTAGTGAAGCTAGGGTCACAAGTTTGATTCCTAGAAAATGTCAATCTTGTGCAATGAAAGTGGCTATGAATTAAAGCATCTGCAAAATGCATAAACATGAAGTACCTGCATCCGAGTGTTAAAATGAAAGGTTTTCCCATTACTTTCATTTCTAAATCGTTAAATACCAATGTGTCAACATACATTAACTGCCTCCCGGCTAACTACTGGATTCCACACGTGACTGTGTCCTTGCAGACAGTGCTCTCTTTTTCTATTTACAGAACTGTAGAAAATCCTTTGGGCCTTGAAGATTAAAAAGTGAAATTCCCCTTTGTAAGCTTATTCCTCAAGCATCTAACCTGAGCATTCTTGCAATTATTAGAAACGCAATCAAATGAAGCCATTACAAACATGAAGTAAAGCCACACTTACCGAAGGTTAACAAGAACCCATAAAGCATACTCAACACCCATGAGTACCAGCCTTTGTGTTCCACATATAATAAGCTATAAACTGCATAGCATCCAAAGAGAGGGTACAGCAGCCAGGACAGGTACTTAAAGGCCATCTGGGGAGGGGGGAAAAACAACAAATATTAATCATTAAACTTATGGGTTTGATGAATGAACATGCAGCTAAAATGTTTCTTACATCATCATAGATTTTGGTTGAAGACTGCACATATGTGGACTTGTCTTTAAAACTCAGTCGTGGCACAATTCCAGCAATCCTGTTCTCTCTGTCCAACTAGGAAAAGAAAAACAAGAATCAACATCTAGATCGAAGAATTCAAAGCCTAGGCATTCAATGCCTGGTGGTAGTGGCATCATCTCACCTTGACGTCCATGACTTTGGTAATCTTCCAGAAATCGATGAGCAGGCCGATGAATACGCTGACCTGGACGACAAAGTTGGTCTCGTTGTCCAGGATATAGAGCAGCACTACCAGAGACTGGAACACCCCGAATATGATGGAGCGCACAGACAGGCCCTCGAGAGACTGGCGGCTGTTCCAGAACTGGATATCTGCAGACAAAGTGAAATGAGACACACCAGAACCCAAAAGTCTCAATCAATTACCACACGTATCAATATTTATTTACCATTCTTGAAGGCCAAGAACTCAAAAATGCTGTGGACGATGGAAACCACGATGGTCAGGCCCAGGAGGTAAGGATTGGTCTCAAGTAGAGCCACCTGTTCAGATAATAAGCAAGATGGCATTAGTCAAGTTAGTTACTCTGCTTGTAATTTGAACATTACATCACTCAATTTATATTCATGAGTCAGGCTGAGGAGGTTATAACCAACACTTAAAAGCAATACAGATTTTTCCAATAAAAAATTGTGGTTCCAATAGCCACAATAAAACTGCATTTTATTTCTAAATAATTAATTAAAATAATACAACTAAAAGAAAAACACTATTGTAAAGACTGTGGGGTGGATCCAAACCTGTATGAATAATTATTAATTATGATATGCAAATTCCTCATATGCAAAGACTCTTGGGTGGATCTGATCATGGGGAATTTGCATATCATAATTAATAATTATTCATACAGGTTTGGATCTGCCCAAGAGTC